TGTGTTTGGCATATATCCGTTTGTTTCCGGGACATGGAGCGATATTCCGGTGGTATCTCCTGCACGAGAGTTGCACTCATTTTGAGGATTCCTTTCGTTAAGAGAACAATCTTCCAAACCTTCGCCTAGGTTGGACTTGCCGGCCACAAAAAAGCCCAAGCCTTTTACCATTTTCTCTCCTCGTTCCAAATGATCTTGTTTCTCGATCAGTACAAGATGTCTCATAATTGCTCTTGCGATTTCATTTAATATCTCAAGTCCATCATCATCCAACCCTTCGTATCGTGGTTTATTGTCGACCACGCAATAGGTTCCAATCACAATGTTTTCTGGGCCTAATAGTGATAAAGTCAAAATAAGTTTTAAGATCAAGGTTAAACCTCTGATTCTAAACATATAAAAGATGTTGACCTGATAAGTGTCTAGAAAATAAAATGCAATTTGTGCCTTAGATCAAGAAGTATGACATGAGAGATTGATTTTGGATTGTTCAAAAATTGACCTTGAAACTGGGAGTTATAGAAGCTCATTTCAAAATCCCCAATACAATGGAGAAAAAGAATTGTGTTCAATAAATGAAAAGTAGGAAACTCACTGTAGATAGGAACCTCGGCATAATATCTCATATATGGCCATTCGGCAATATAAGGGCGCGTTTTGTACTTTTCGATGGCTGCAAGATCATTCATTACATAACGAGTCTGATTCGCGGTAACAAGGTTAGTTTTCACATTTCCCGTATCGTCTTTAGCTGTGAAAATTTGAATCGTATTTGGGCATATCCCCCAGTGCATATCTAGGATGCGGGCCCCAAGGAAGATTTCGTCACCAGGCTTTGTGAGGTCTCTAGTGTGTAGTGAAACACTCCTTGTTGCTTCCGCAATGATGTATTGATTGTGCGTATCCATCAAAGATATGAAAGACCTTTCAGTATTCAATCGATAAGCGCCGAGCTGCGCAAATGCTGTCAATGTAGGATCATGCCGAAGTCGTTTCGAAGGATCAGGTCCCCCTTTCTCGGCTTTTTTGGGATCCTCTTCTATATGTGGTTGTTCTTCTGCCTCACATGTTGTTTCTGGCAGCCCGCGCCCATTTCTTTCGAAATCGTCGTCTTCACTCTCTCTTGTAAGTTTCCATTTCTCTGGTGTGTAATATCTAATACAGAAGTAATGGTTAATTCGTCCCGGTCAATGAATTGTTGACTTAATTACCTCAGAAGATTTCTCACTCTTTTCCTCTCTCGAGTCTTGACTTCCTCTGGTTGATCAGCGAAAGACGGCATTATGGCTTGCAATCAGAAAGGACAAATTGCAAGGTTTAGTATAAAAACAATTAGAAGGAAATAACAGTCCATAGATAGAATGATTGTGCCGTGTTTGTTCATGCAGTCCTGTGAGAAGAGAAAGAGAAAGAGAAACCAAAAAAACTCGCGCCGAGATGAGGCATTAGCTATCCGTATGATCCCTCTAAGCTTCGAGCAGGGCTCATCTGCTATGATTGAATATCCTCACCACAAATATTTTCTGGGAGTTAATTCGATCCGCGGAATACCACCCTTGGGTAACAATGGCTGAACACAACAACTCTGAGCTATCTCGAGAGACATCTTGGCAGATTCCGAGCTCATCAACATCTCAACATGTCAAAATGTCCCAATGGCTGCTGTAATTCGCCTATTCATGCAGTTTTGACAAATGCATGCATTATCTGCAATAATACCAGTAGCACAAGCTTAACACAGGAAACAGACCTATTGCGCCTCGATACTGAAGATTCCGGATAACTTCCGCGGCAGAAATTTGTAGTACAATCATCAATGGCGCGTTAATGACAATTTCTATCCTATCACATGTTCACTGTGGAGAAACCATATATATTTTAAATACTCGGGTGAAACTTTGTGCGAAGATTATGGCTAATATGCCACAAGATCGTTTCATTGTACTTTATGTGTTTTCCTGTGCTCCAAAGTTTCGAGAATTTTTGCAGAAAATCCAATAATGGCTCAAATTAGTAGCAGTAGAACCCGTAGCTTCTTGGTGGGTTCGTCCTCGCACAGAGTTCAAGAATAGTTCCACGGTGGTGGTTGGTAATACCATGACTTTCTACCCTGCGGCAACTATATGAAACAGGAACTTGCCGGCCAGCTTTTCAAGACCAAACTTCTGGTTTTATAATTCGATTCTTGCTGCCGAATCTGATGGTAATATTGATCGCTTCTTCTGATATGCAATAATTTCGATTTTAGAATAACTTATGACTTAACTTTTTAAGATGTCTGATTTTCGTGAATTCGGCGGTGACTGTTACATGCCGGAGATTAGAAGATCTCGGATGCTTCGTGCTGCTGTAATAGAGGTACATAGCCAGAACATGTATTGCTTTTTAGAAACATCGGCATTTCTGGAGGCGGATTCCCGGTTCTAGGAATTCGTAACATGCCGATAATGCAGCCAATGGACCGTGAATTGAATGAAAATATGTATCAATGACCTCCTTTTTTCCCGAGATATTCCCCCCTAGCTCGATCGCAATACTACATGAAAACTCGAATCATGTAGATCCTTTAAGGCTTGATATACTTTTGTGTTTCATGAAGCCTTTCCACAAAGTCACATTATTAGGACACCATCCATGAGAGCATTGGATGAGTTGATGTAAGTGATTTTTCGTGATGCGGGTTCTTCCAAAGCTTTCTAATCTCAGGTTCCTCGTTTGCCTTTTGCTTTTGCTTACTCTTCAAGGGCTGGTGGGTGGCGTGCTAAAGACATCGACATGAAAATACTCATCTCCGCCTTTCAGCCCCACTGTACCCTGAAAAAAGAAAGAGTGAAGCACAAAGCAGTGGTGTTTTCTGAAAGAGTTCTGGTTGTTTGAGACGGAAGTGTGGGCATATTCACAACTGAGCCATTGAATCGGTACATGAACCAAAGATCCCTCACGTGGTGATTCCGAGTAGTGATAAAAACACACCCTCACGTGACCTTTTTGGCCACAAAATCACGACGACATCGCTCTCATTTGACAAAAAAAGAGGAAAGACAGACTTGTCACACAGTTTGAAGTCAATCACTTCAAATTGTACGCCCACTTATTATCGCGATCCCAACTTTCTACCCTCACCAATCCATCTCTTCTCAAAGGTTTTGTTGCACATCTTATTCTCTTCGCAAATTTCCTATTTGGATGCCCTTTTCCGAAAAAGCCTGTGCGGCCTGTGTATTTCCCTTTCCAATCAAATTGACTGGGACTGATATGATCCGTGTCAGGTTGCAGAATAGGGAGGGATTAAAAGCCACCAATCGTTGATTTCGCAGCTACCACATGTTCGTCGCCGTGAGCACTCTGTGGTTGGTTGTTACGAGGTTTGCCATCTAGATCACGTGGAAGTGCTCTAGGCTCTCGAAGTGGTTTATAACTAGGCGTCAAGCAGGGACTTAAAGTAATGACAATAATGCAATTCGTAACTAATAGTAGAGTATACTAAATGATTGATCTTGAGCACGAAGCTCTATACAAAGGAAATCCGTCTTGATTATATAGACCTTCATGCTTCGTGGCTCGAAGGGAGCGAAGGGATCGAGCTTCGATCCTTTCGCTCTCCTCGATCGAAGGGCTCGAGAGGCCAAGCCTTCGAGCTCTTCGAGTTCTCGCATCACGTGTTATTACTAATCCTGTGACCTAATTGTTACCCATCGTAACATCTGAATGTAATACTAAGTATTAAAAAATGATATGAAGTAAAACATCTAGAATATTATTTATACTATTAGCTAGAAATTTTATAATCTTGTATCAGTTTCGAGTCTTGATACAAGACATCAATTAATACAGGCGAATAGGCTCACCGGGAGCGGGGTAAATCCTCCAGTCAGCGAGAAACGTCAGATGTGCGAATATCACCATTCTAGCGAGCTGGAAATTTAATCATATACTTTGTTTACTGTTTGTAGCTTCTACCCTCCGTCACTCAATCGACAGACCATTTCAAGACTGCCCAAAGTCGATGCTCGTCAATGCTTCGCAATGTGCCTTCAAGGTCCAGGCACTTACGGCAGAATGTCATTCAAAGCAGATTTAATACGATTGCCAGTCGCGGGACCATTATTTCTGGGTTTCGACATACCATTTCCGTGATATTGCCTAGTCGACCTAAATGTTTCAAGAAGTGTTTTCATACGCAAACAGAAACTTCAATTGGATTTGCAGACGATACGATATATGCGCTTTCAACAGCGCCCGGTAGAGCTGGTATAGCTATCATACGTATTTCTGGCTCTGCGTGCCTCGATGTATGACAGATTTTTTCAACCTTACAGGCTTTTGGTATTGACTATGATAGATTTATCAAAGCTTGTGCCCATCGAAACCGATTCCCAAACCACGATATGCAGCTGTAAGGACACTCTATGAGCCATTGGCTCCGACTCGAAATATTCTCGATTCCGACGCTTTAGTTCTTTACTTTCCCGCCCCGAAAACTGTTACTGGGGAAGATGTACTAGAGTTACATGTACATGGGGGTTCAGCTACAGTCAAAGCAGTCTTAAGCGCAATTCCACAATGTACATCGCCAGCGAAAATTCGATATGCCGAGCCTGGAGAATTCACACGTCGAGCATTTCAGAATAATAGATTGGATTTAGCGCAAGTGGAAGCATTGAGTGATACTTTATCTGCAGAGACGGAACAACAACGTCGTGCTGCTGTGCGAGGAACTTCTGGAAACCTTGGTCGTACATATGAAGCATGGCGACAACAATTATTGTATGCGCGTGGGGAGTTGGAGGCATTGATTGACTTTTCAGAGGATCAACATTTTGATGAATCGCCTGCGGAATTATTATGGAACGTTACAGCTCAAGTTGAGGTTATGTTGGAATCAATCGCCGCACATGAGTCAGCAAGTCATCGGGGTGAATTACTCAAAAAGGGAATTAGGATTTCTTTATTAGGACCACCTAATGCTGGCAAAAGTTCTCTTTTAAATCAAATCGTCGGTAGAGAAGCTTCAATTGTTAGTCAAGAAGCCGGAACTACTAGAGATATCGTGGAAGTTAGTTTGGACATTCGTGGGTACCTTTGCACTTTTGCGGATACCGCCGGCTTGAGGACTCAAGTTTCACCAAGTGAAAGTGGCAAGAATGACTCAATAATCGGGCATATCGAACAGGAGGGTATCCGAAGAGCTAAAGCGAAGGCAAATGAGTCAGATGTCGTTATTGCTCTTGCCAGTATAGAATGGTCAGATATTCGAAATGGATGGGAAATTCGTTACGATATTGAAACATTCGAAATAGCAGCTAAAGCCCCGAAATCCATGATTGCTATTAATAAATCTGATTCAGTCACCCCTGAGATACTGTCAGAACTTATAAATGACTTCAAAAAGTCTCAAATAGACATAATTACTGAAAATGTCGTTCCACTAATGACGATATCATGTAAAAATGCTCAGGCATCATCAAGTCAAGGAAGTATTGGTCATTTTATCGACGAAATGGTCAAGGTATTCGAAAATATGACATCTCTACCAACGGATCTGGAGGATTTACTTGGAGTTACTGAACGTCAGCGTCAACTTCTCGCTGCCTGCTCAGCCCATCTATTAGATTTTACGAAGGAAGCTCAGCTGCAGGTTGATGATGAACGAGAAGTCGATATCGTTTTGGCGGCTGAGCATCTTAGATCTGCTGCTAATTGTTTATCGCGGATTACGGGTAGAGGTGAAGCTGGTGATGTTGAGGAGGTTCTTGGAGTGGTTTTTGAAAAGTAAGTTGATTGTCTTTTTTTTTTGGTTAATTTTGTGGTGCTTGTTTTGGTTGTATTGTGTATGTATGTGGACTGACTTTTTGATCCCCCATTTGTAGATTTTGTGTTGGTAAGTAGGTAGATTGTGGGATGAGATGTGTGATGGGATTGGGATTGAGATTGGGATTGAGGTCTGGCTTGGAATTGGAATTGGCATTCATGATGATGGAGTTTCACGAGGTAGATACCTAGTAGATTAAATAGTTGAGATGGAGATAAATATATCATGATAGATTGATTGATCATTCATTTATTTGTTCATGCGTTGTGATATATCATGCTAAACCCCCCTCCTCTGGTAATAATACAAGAACGTGTAAATGGTAGAAAGAGAATAAGAGAAAAGAAGAAGAGAAGGAAAAAAAAGATATCTATCCGGTCTATCCAATATCATGTAGCCTTTATGTAATGCAACCAATATCCAACACCCAAATAATGCTAAAATACCATGTATGAATGAAAAGTAATACAAAAAAGAAAATGAAAATGAAAGAAATATGCGCTCAAATCGTGACTCTAGATCTTCCAAATCTTAAATCTTAAATCTCAAAGTCTCTAGATTGATAGTCGAAAGTCGAAGGAGTAACTTTCATGAGGTAGGTAGGTTAGGTTACCATATTCATCGATGGAATCTTTAAAAGGTTGGAGTCTTGAGGTAACGTAATCGAGGTCTGAAATTGAAGTGAATTGAAGTGAAGTGAAGTCGTTGGAATCATGAAGGTTTTCTTTGAGATGATGATGATGAAGATGATGAAGATGAAGAAATGATAACTCCGATGTATGCTGAGAAATCTATGCGATCTATGATGCGATGCGATGCGATGCGAAAGTAGAGAAACCGAATAGCAACCGAAAAAAATCCGCGAGGATGGAAATATATATCTTTGTGTTTGGTTGATTGCTGGATGCTTGATTGAATGGAAATGTAAAATGCGAAACGTAAAAGTAAAATGCGAAAACTCCGTAAAAATGCAATGCTGGTTGGTCGTGAGACCTTTGAATTTTATGTGTGGTATAAGAGGAAATTTTGCTATGCCGTGCTGTGCTGTGCTGTTGTTGCCGGTTTTTGGAAATCTATTGTTTGTGATCGCCGGAGAATTGCTGGAAATTGTGAATGTATAGATATGATGATGCGATAGGAAGTGATGCGATATGATGCGATATGATATGATGCGATGAAGGGGTTAACCTTAATCTTAACCGAACATTTCACCCAACATCCAATATAGAGACTGGTGGACTTGAACCTTAGGTTTCCATATCTACTCATACATAGGTAGCCATAGGTATAGATGTGATATCAAGAACCCGAGATCGAATTCCCCGCATCGCAATCAATCATTAGAAGTAAAGAGCAAAGGATATTTAGTTATATCCACCTCTTCCATCTTCCTCCTCATCATCATCTCCACGACGAAGACGTAGTGAAGAGTTGGAAACGCAGATGATAGGACGGGAATTATCCTCTTCGTCGTCACTTTTGTTGGGGCCGTTGTAGCCTCCGCGGCCGAAGTTGAGGGGTGTGTTGATTGGGGAGGAGGAGCTGCTGCTGGATGTGCTGGTGAAGGTTTGAACTGCCATTTTGGTGGTTGGGTTTGAGGTTGTTTGTTGGTTGTGGTTTGGTTGAGGTTGAGGTTGATATTGGTTATATAGTCGATTCGAGATGATATATATCGAAGAGCGTTTGACAGATAGTGAGTAGAAGAAGACTATATGAAGAGATATGAAAGAAGTTTTATATTCTATAGAATAGTATATAAGTACTGTATGTAATAATCAAAGACCGATGAAGAAAAACTCTCAACCCAGGAAACCACCGCCCTCTATATACTTTCCCATCTCCTCCATGTATGTATGCAGACATATCAGTCAGTATGGCAGCCAGAGTACTCTAGCATGCATCCCAAGTACTCAACTCATCATGACGACAATGCCTCACCTCATCCTCTGAAAGCCCTAGTCAGTTAGTAGTCTTTAGGATTATGAGATGCTAGGTCTGCAAATCCATGACATTCATGGAATCCATGGATTCTAACTGTGCGTTACCCTACGCTAGCACGAAATAAATCGCGTTATTAAAATCAAGATGAAGCTGATGTTGCTACCTGCTAGTTGCTAGGCTGTGAATAACTTACAGTATACCTATATAAGTAAGGTCACACACAGTAATCGAGTCAGAAAAATAGGTAATCTTAAATAAGATACTAAGAAATGGAGTAATAAACATACAAATCCAATACAGTAACTTCCTCCCCAAATAATAATAATAAAAGTAATACCACAATCAAAATCAAAATCCTGACAAATCTCAATGCATTTTGAATCCCCCGGTTCATTCACGCTCCTTCGAAATTCTTCTAGGTTATTAATTCCCATTTTACTAAAATGGTAATGGTTATGGCTATAGCATGGGCACTCACTAAAATAATGCTAGTACGGGTATCTATTAGCTGGATGCCCCGTGGAAATAGGTAGATAGATACCTAGATACTAGTCTAGGTACCTAAAAGCACAGACAGACAGACAGATACATAGGCTGAAGTTATCGAGGCCGCCTCTCTCACGAACCGAGCTTTGACACCATACACACTACTTCAAAGATCAACCTAAAGCTAAGTATATGATTAACATCCCTAAATCTAATTTTTTTGGTCTACGAGTGGAGTTTACTGGTAATTCTTACATGTAAGATACTTTCAATGAAGCATGGTCATCTATTATATTTATTATTGTTGTCGATTCCATTCATTTTTATATTGCCGAATCCTTCCTTGGATTTGGAGTTTAGATGAGCGGGGATTATTAGGCGCCTTTTTTTTTTTTTGATAAGTAGTTATGAAACTACCGGAGCTGAAGAATACCTAGATGGTGATGGTATGTTGGTATGTTTGTAGGTTGTTAGAAAGTGGGTTTATTTACTGCGCAATTAAAAGTCACTGTTATTTATCGTGTTGGATTATATACCTATGTACCTAAGGTTACTCGAGTAATTTGAGATGATGAGATATGAATACATACAACTAGTTATCTCTTGTAAACATTATTATTGCCTATTAGAAAACTCCAAGAAATTATCAAAAGAAAAGATATATAAAAAGTCAATAGTACAATATACATGTAAAGAATCTTCCTTACATCTAATCTGTCCATCCATCCATCCACGATGATCCACAACACGTTTCTTCCAGGATTAAAATCATGCCATCTTTATTATAATCCAAATCTTACCCTCTTTCTCCAATCACCTCATTCAAAAAGTCAAGTATTCAATGGCCTTGAGGCTACAAGGTTCTAGGTTCACCAATGCACCGGTGTATGTATCTCAGCCCTATGATCTGATCTAAAAACAGGGGATCTTGACAGGTCGGTTATTTATATCCCAGCTCATCATTGCTTGGATAAGAAGTGATAGATGTTGTCTTTGATCAAACAGTTTGTGGCTTGTGTATTATGTATGTATGTATGATTATTTTGAGGTTTCTCTTTTTTTTTTTTGGAATTTTGGAATAACTTTACCTGAATAGGTAAAACATCTTGACAGTCAAAGTTAGTCAACTTGCCCATGCCCATCCATCCATGTTCTTCTTTACGTGTTGCTTGGCTCGAACCTGAACTTCAAACGGTTCTTGTGATGAAAAGCCATGTTGATAAGCGCGAACCTACTTAATTTTCTAAATTCTAAATTCATCTTAATATATTCCGTACATGGCCCAAATCATTAATCAAGTAGCTAGCTTCTCAAATATTAGATTATAGTATTCCTAAGCCTCAAATGAAAGGGGACCAAACGATGACCAGGCATAATATTCCAACGAAAACGTTATAAGCTTACCACCATGTTCATCGGTACCAAACTATCTATCTATCTCTCCTGACTCTCTGAGAAATACTGAGCACAATAAAAAAGATGGACCTCATCCTTACGAAAATAGCCATGGTTAATCCATCACATCTACATTCACCGAAGCTCTCAAAGAAGAAGTTCTGAAGGCTTTGTTTGATCTGTGGATCCATCCGTACACAGCTCGTCTAGCCACCTAAAAGAGAACCAGGATTCCAAGCGCCGTGCTATGACTACACGAGGAACGGCAAAGGATTCGTATGAACATACCAATGGGAGTCAGGTTAGGATTCCCCGGATCGGGATCTCTACTTCATGGTGTGGTCATGGTGGGTAAGGTATATATGCATCCCACGCATACATAATCCAAGTATTTTTGACAATTAGAGGATTCCCGAATTTGTCCGGTCTAACATCAGGTCCGCGTCGTGGGAACCCCATGTATATGGTAGGTAGGTAGTCTTAAGTTAATGAATAAGAAACTTACATACACGAGAGGATCTCCGCCATAGCTAGATAGGAGTAGCAATCAATGTCTTAGCTAGGTACCACTGGATCTCGTACCTCACAGGCCGTTTCACATTACCTCATATTGTTCATCCGAAGTTTGAATTTTGTTACAGCTTCCTCGTGGTCTGGATGTGTTACAGTGCATATGCGTATCTCATGCCATGTGCGCATTCCAAGTTCCCCGACCCCGAGTTCACATCGTTTCAAATCATGATCGAGGTCATGATTGTCATCGTTGGATGAATGGGTGCTTAGATGATGATACATTTGTCCGATTGGAAAGATGTCGAGTCATTCTAGAATTTTGACTGTACCTGCGTTATGCCTTATGCATGACTCTAGGGATTGCTTGCTGCAGAAGAAGACGGAAGTGGGATCACCATTCGCCGATGACTCTTTTGTCGGGTTCATCTATGAAATTGTGGATTTAGTGTAAGATTACGGAGTAGAAATGATTTGATGGAAAGTCTGCTGATATACGACGTAATTTCATCCATTACTCTGGACCTTCAGCGGATATCTAGTTTTATTTGCTGCCTATTGTGTGATATATCTAAAATATACTAAAATACACTAGCCTAACGCTCGTACCTGATATATGTATTCGCGAAGCAAAACCCCTAACGATTACTTACAATTACCCCTGAAACGGCCCGTTACCGTGACACCCTGTGATATTGATTCATCGCCGCATGTTTCTATCTTGGTTCTAGATAAATTCTTTCGGCATCTGAGCCAACCATCTTAGAAGCTTGATACATAATACAGTTTATGAGGAATGCTTGGCGAAGGGTAAAGAATAGTTTCATAATATGATATGATGCTGATGATAAGAGGGCTGGCTGAGTAAACCTCATCATCAATCAGCAAGAGTGAGAGATAGGTGGGTAAGTCATCAATAGCACAGCAGCACTGCCCACCTAGAACCACCGAGTCGGTCTGCCATGTTCAAATTGAGAAGGGTACGAGCTCATGACCTTGATTCTGATGAACTCGAGAAAATACATGATTTAGATATCTAATGAAAATCATAGTGTCCTTGACCTACCTTACAGCTAGCTGCAGCTACATACTCCTTAATCATCAATAGCATAACTCCACCGAAATCCAAAATCCCATTTTCCAAGCCCTGAATTCAAGGTTCGAAAACAGCCTCTTTCTGTATACGTACGGGTATTTTCCACGACCCTGCCTACCTAGTATGTACATACCAAAAGCCCATTATTTCCATCCACTAGATCAGATACCCGGAAACTCAAATGCGAGAAACCGTTCACCGGTATGATGGATAGATGGGCTCCTTGGAATCTTAATGAAAGAATTTCGTATGTAGCACAAAGCCTCACGCCTCGACGGAGTGAGTGATGCACCGCCAAATCCCATGCCTAGATGGAACGTTACCTCGTGGCATTTCTAGATTTTTTAGTTTACGGTATGGTATGTATGCAGCGAGGAAATCTTTGAGTAATTATAATGGAGGGTTGTAATACATTAGTTTAGCTTGGAGGTTACCGGCAGTTTCTACGGCTAAGGAGGGATATATTTTTTCACTCACTGGTGAGTGGGTGCCAGAAGGATGGAAATGTGATGGGTAATTCGGAGCTGGAAAATGGGTGTTAATGTTTGGCTTGGGGATGGGGATGGGGAAGGGGATGATTGGTAAGCTTTTGATAGGTTGGAGGATAGTTTGCGGATGTCATCTTTTAGCGCCCGTGATATAAATTGTAGATTATACGGAATTGATAGAATAATAAAGTAAAGTAGAGTAGAGAAGAGTAGAATTAAGAAATAATGCGATCGATGCCAAGGCTCGTTTGATTATTCTTGGAGATTTACGAAGTACAGTACTCGATGGAAGATGCTATTTATAGAGTCAACAGTTTTGAGGAAATGGGGAAATGATATAGAGGTAAGGTTATTTAACCTATTGGTGGATGTTATTTTGTGGTTTTGATATACTATCTAGGTATCTATCGTTACCTAAGGTTACTTACTTTACTGAAGGAGTAAATTAATAGAGGCAAGAATAGATTTCATCTCTAGGTTAGGTTACCTCTCGATCCATCTTCTTTCTTCTTCCACAAATCAGATATCGTGAGATCTATACTGTATACCAGAAATAGCTGGCGAGATGAGATGTGATGTGATAATGTGATGTGATGTGATTGAGGAGTAATCTAGTGGGGTATCATACTATACTTTTACTGTAGGTTATTGCAAATAAACCGCGAGTTATAACCGAATATCATATTCCATCGTATAATATCATGTATTGCATCGCAATAGAACTGCGATAAATATATTTATGCATACCTTTCTCTCCCAGACAATCTAATCGGAACAATTAACCTATCAATAAATATGGATAAATAAATCTACACAAACAAATAGATATTTGCCTGGTAATCCGCACAGACAATACCACTCACCTTACATCACAAACCCATCAACTACCATCTAGCCAGAACCCATCATCTATCTAGAACCATCAAAAGGGCCATCTAAAATTTGGGGGCCAACGAAACCGTACGTTATATCACAGCTAACAGAACAACCTTCCATTTTTCCCCTTCCCCAGCCCCTCCACCCAAACCATTCAGGAAATTTTACGAGTGCACACCTACCAAGAATCCCTCCATCTATCCATCCATCCATCCATCCATCCATCCATCCATCCATCTTCGAAGATGCCCCAAATTCTCCTTGTAGGATCTGGAGGTACAGTAGCGTACGCTAGGCTACGGTATATACCTTACCATCCATCGATCCTTCCTCAAGTACGGCACGGTACTTCTCGTATTGCGCTCCGTGTGGTATGGTTTCGGTATCTGGTAAGTCTTACTTTGTTTTTGCTCTTGTCTATAAATTCTTGCTTTTTATAATCTTAGTAGTTATTTAAAGTTATTCCTAATTCCTCATTTCGAAATTGTGAGATTGATAGCTTTTTAAAAGGGAAATAGATAAATACGATGTTGTGTGCAGCGTAATGAATGCCTTGTCAAAACTTAAGAAAGCGAACAGAGAGAATAATATCAAGGTCCTGAGATTATACCCTATTTAGGACAACAATTCTACTCCATCCATTCCACCCATTCATCTCCTACATATTTCACAATTATCTCACCTAAAAAACATACCAAACCAAAAAGCCAAAAAAATAAAAATACACCCCAAACATGCGGCTCATTCGCAATCGTACAGAAAGACCACCAGACTCCAGTAAACATTAATTAGAACGACAGAGAGAAATAAACCCTGTTGCCACGCGTACTTCAGGCACTCAAAACACATGTAGTGTAAGAAGAGATCGCAACCGCAATGCAGACTTGGCCTCGTGGTTTCTGTTTTTAGATATGTATGTGAATGATGGTGCAATTTGAGGGTCTTTGTAATTTCTTTGGTTGGGGGTGGGGTGTATGGATGCATGCATGTATGTATGTAAGTTAGGTTATGTGAGGATGGATGTCAGATTTGGCGTGGGATACTCGTAGGGTAAGGTAAGGTGTTGAGGGGGACACGTTTTTTTCTCGGATTTTTCACATTACCTACACTAAACTACACACCCTCAACCATGAAACCCCCATGATGGGATGGATGGTTAGTGATGCATGCAGATGCAGATGCAGGTGGGATATTATAGGGCTGTGTTTTTTGTGTTTGTTTGGGAATGATGAGATGATTTTTGTTTTCATGGGTTCGGATATAGAGTGTTCAATCAATGAATGATATGTATGGATGGATGAATGATGTGGGGGTTAATAAGCAGAGAGAATTGTTGCGGTGAAAGAAAATCTGGTGTTTAGTTCTTACTTTGACGATAGATTGATTGTCTAGATCGCCGACTTTGGGGATATGGTGACTAGGGAATGAGATATTTGGAGAGGAATAGTAATGGTAATGAAAGTTAAGAGTCATACCGGAGGAAAATGTTCGGGTAATGTAACCTCAGGATTATGTTAACGTGATGGTGCAGCATATCATACTCGTGGATATACAGATTGAAATACATGTTTGAATAGTCTGACTGGTGAAGAATGATACGATAGGAGGACCAGGTATTAATTTGAAGATGATTTGAGTAATTGGAATAATGGGATTGTGTTTTGGAATGGAATGGAATGGAAATATCAGAATCTAGGATTTCTAAGCCTTCTTCCTAAGTATGGAAGTAGTCGTGATCGACGGTAAGCAAATCCAATTTCATTCGTTTCCGTACCAAACATTTATGATCTCTATGGACCTAGAGCCCATAGAATATCAAGAGGAACTAAGTGGAATGATCATGAATGCTTTGTCAAAGCATTTTGAACACCGGACTTTCAGTACCCTTTGACCAGTCATATAACATTCTTGTATTAATAACGCTGAGATGAACTTGTTCACCAACTCGATTATTCATCTCCTGTTCATATTTTGAAATGGCAAGACTTGGATCAGTATCCGTCTTGAGTAATTCAAAAGATTACCAGTATCAGTCATGAGATGGTTGGGACCTTGACCTCGTTATTTGAAGAAGTTAGTGTACATCTTCAAATGAATCATCAGAACTCACGATAACTCATTGAATGGGCAAAATCACCACTCAAAGTCACTCATCCATTTCTATTATCCCATTGATGGTTTTCTTCCCTTCAATCCCACACAACAAGACTAAAAAACCAAACTGGTTGATCTTTGGATAACCATTCAAAAGCACTTTTTCAATACTCTTTAAACCCCTAACCCTCCCCCTCCCGCAACCCCTTTGGTTTTTTAACCTGTTTCAGTCTTGCTGCATTATCAAACACTCCTGCTCCTCCATCCCGCGTTCACATACTCGTATTCCATGAAATATAGACGAAAAGTTTCCAACCTTCTCGCTCTTCCAGACCTAGCAAACCTTGTAAACCAAATAATACATAGGCTATCGGGACGTGGTAAAGCCAGGAATAGAGAACCACATGATGTAAACAAAGAGCTTGTTCTGAATTTATCTTACTTGCACAAATGTAGCAGCATACGGAAGTCGTGTATTCAACGATTATTCGGATTCAAAGGGGTAGTCTCCTAACAGTTAACCTTGCATCAGCTGCGCCTATCACCAATCTTCCTGTTATATGTTGACCATCCTCAAAACATATATTAAACTTTTTACCTTATGTTAATCTACGATATTTCCCAATTGTATCCGATATGTAGGTCTCGGACCAAGAGCATGCGAGATCGAATCATCGAAGTCGGTGAAAGTGTGGAAGTCCTAGAGCAAACAAGAGTTCTTGTTGAGCCATTAACGAACGATAGAGTATCGAGGGAATTAGTAGGCGTATGTTGATCGACTTGACAAGATTTTAGTTCGGGAAGAACAGATTCGGATATTAGGGATTTCAAGGTTTTTAATTCCAAGTGAATTCCTATATTTCAATGCCGTTGTCTAGGAATTGAAAGATGGATATTTATTTCAAACACAATTGTTCGTATTCCTACCTACTTTTACCAACCTTACTGAGGCCCTGTGCTATGACAAAGCTTGTACTCCCTGTGAGATATTATGAATAATAGTGAGTTAGTACTCAAATGGTAGTGATCATTGCCGGGGTCAAGTATGTACCTGCTCTTATTATGATTACCGGGTTATATGAATCCAGTGGAAAATCTTCAATATCTTCCCCCATAAATTTCTCTAGATGTTAATTGATGGATACGACGGGGAGATATAAGAAAGTTAAACGTTTGATAGCCAGTTAAGGCTGGGAAATAGAATTGTCGTGATGACCGTGGAGGGAAATCGCCTACCGGGAACTATCCCACATGCGTTCACCACCCACCTACCTTGGAACCTTATAAACCAGCAGTACCGAGTATAGTATGAATCTCATATGAATTTGAATCAAAATTAAACCTAATCAATCAAGTAGAACGATATATCTCCTCTCACATTCCTTGGTTGATATCTTCAAAGACTCGGGGAGATAGTTCATTTTGGTATTGATGGAAGTTTCTATATGTACCAGGAAAGATTCTAACATCCTCTTTCAAGCATCATTATGAATAGATAAAACCCCATCTCCATTATTGATCCATCATCCGAATATCTAGAATTGCATCTCCAATATCTGTGCAGTCAGAACTAATGAGAAAAAGCAATTATCTATCTGGTCTTACTCCATATCGCACACAGATTTTGCTAAAGAATATGCGGATAAACCTATCCCAAATATGTCGATGCCGCAGAGTAGTATATGCCGCATTTGGTTTCCGCCGCGACCCTTGGGTTTTTCTTCCTATAAAGGAAGCTCCTTGAAGTTGAAGCACATCCATCCGCATCCATCATCACCACCGACCTCTCGCCTATTCATGATTAACCCTTATTCCTCCAAACCTAACTGCGCCTTCGAAGTTGAAGACTTGAATATCGTACAGATCTATCTTAAAGCCCACTTCGACATCATCCATATACGAGAATTATTTGGCTGTTGGGTATGTAATTAACTGGGACATCTTCTTCTCGGAAATACTTTCATGACTGAAATATGGTGGTTATATTGAGATCATGTTGCATGGCGTATGTCCTGTCTCGGATGATGATATTGTAGGTGGGAATAGTTTCTCCACGAAATAGGGGAGAACGGTGATTAATTAATTGATTGACTTAGGGGAAAATTTTCGGCAAAAGCTCCACGATTTTAAAGGAGAGTAAAGCTAAAACAAAAGCTGCGGTCTTTAAAGATTTGAACATGTAATTGATGCTGTGTATAAGTGGTCTACGAATCCATGGCAGGACACATAATAACGATAAAAACAAGAGACAAAAAGATTTCAAAGAAATTAACTCGATGAAATAAATCAGTATAAGTAAAGTTTATAAGTGTACAAAAGAATACATAATTAAATAACTAACCTATATTAATAATATATATCTTTTTTAATTTGCCGCTCCTCAGTTTTAAAAAATATTCTTTATTGATATAATATAAATTACTTAAGTAGTATACTTATAAAACTACTCAGTTATTCTATAACGAGATAAAAAAAACACTAAAGGACGAGAATATCCATAGATATTTTGTCTTGATGTATAACTTCCCTTTCTTTATAAAATTCCAAATCTAATAATAATTATACTAATATCATCCGTTATAAACAATCATAAGCACAGGAAACAAATCGTTATTATACAATACCATTGCTTTTAAGATCTTATAATCTTACCCAGTCAAAAGCCATCTAAATAAATCACAATATGATAAATACTTTTATAATACTAAAATTTTCAAGTTTCACATACTAACTACATCAAGAATATCCTGTAACGATACTGTACTAAAGGCAGCGGCTGCCTAAGGTTCGTCGGTTGGTAGTTATGGGTTAAGGCTTTATCACTGGTTATCACTGGTATTCACTTGAAAGTGAATTCGTTACTAGATCAAGTAGAATGTAGGTAAACTAATTGATAACTAAGTTGAGCACGAAGCTCCTAAACTATGAAACTACTCTGACTATATAATGAACGATAAAGGGAGCCCCTAGGAGCTTTCTGGCTCCTCAGGGCTCCTCATCACTTGATTTCTGATGGTGCGTGCGCATACGATCTTCAGGTGACCAAGATCACATACTGTTACGAGGTTTGCCGTCTAGATCACGTGGAAGTGCTCTAGGCTCTCGAGGTGGTTTATAACTAGGCGTCAAGCAGGGACTTAAAGTAATGACAATAATGCAATTCGTAACTAATAGTAGAGTATACTAAATGATTGATCTTGAGCACGAAGCTCTATACAAAAGAAATCCATCTTGATTATATAGTCCTTCGTGCCTATGGTTAACTAGGAATCGTCGTTCCTGGGAACGAGCGTTCCTGGTTGTTCCTAGGAACGTTCGTTCCTCACCGTTCCATCACATGTTTTATGGTCATGTGGCATACTAATCGTTTTGGACGTAACACATACTAATTCGATGAAATCTGATCGTGTTTGCACAAGGCCTAAGCTCTCCTAACTAATCAGTTTGCTACCATCGTAACACCATCAATCCTAATGGTGAATCGTGACATATCCGTACTTTAACAGATTTTACATTTATTCATTCATTCATTTAATAAAACTTACAATTTAAAAATAACAAACATCTCTCTCTCTCTTTCTTTATATATATATATTTTAACACAAATCATTTAATAATAATAATAATAATAAAATATACTCTAACTCTAATTCAAATATTATAAAAATTGTTAAAAGGAATGACCTCACACAGGGAATAGTGGGAAGCTGATAGGGCAGAACTGAGGTAATATTGGTCTAGTAGGTTAATCTCTCTTTTAAGTTCTACGGAAGTGCGAAGCTCTCTTACAGAGAGCTTCTCAATCTAGTCCTAATAGGACTAGTGCCCTGTGCACGTGCTACGCAGGAACCATTCACTTTAACATATACATCTAAACTCTATATATTATACATACTTAAAAAAGCTTATAAATCTAATAAATATATAAAATATAAAAAAAATTTATTTTCCAATATAATCAGCTTTGTGACGGAAATCCCTGCTTTCCTCCCACCCTTATTATATAAGAAACCTCAGGTACATTAACCATGTCCACACATGATACGATTACTCGGGATTAGTATACGATTTAGGTGACCTGAGGATCAGATCCGGACAAGTACTAGGTATCAATGGTTATCGGTAAAGTAAGATCATTGGAGGAATAAATATGACTTCTTTTTGCCTAGCCATTGCAGCTAGGCCATTCATTTGTGTATATATAGAGTAGCTATCCCCATCTACAGGTGCTCTTCACCTGTGGATTCTAAGTTAAATACAATTGCTGGTCTATAAACACCCTTTTGGTCACAAGCTTGATTAAAAAAATAAAATTATTATATTATTATTGTTAGATATATATATAATAAAATCTTATAGAATAATTCCTCCAATCATCAATTATTAAATTAGTATTCTCCCTTCCTCCCCAACTCAAAAAAAAAAAAACAAAAAAAAAGGAAAATTCAAAAAACTTAAAATATTAAATCAATAATCGATATTCATTCCCACTTACCCCTATTGTGTTCTACCTATTTATCTAAGTTTGTAATGAGTAACCAAACCCCCGTCACTAATTCATTAATCAATCAATCAATCAAACCATCTATTCCATCATCCCCAATCATCTGCTTCAATAATGTATCTCTAGCAATCAATCCATCATATACCATAACACTACTTTCATATTTTCATACTTTCATACAAAAGTTACAATTCGTTTATTCCCATCTTCGCGTTTCTCTTAGCCAATAATCAATTATAATACACCCCAGCCTCCACCCATCTACTCATCACCCTTACACATATCCATTAACTTCACACTTCACACCTCACACCTCACACCTCACCACTAACCCAAACTCCCACTACTTCCACCCGCCTTATCACCCATAACATCAATATACCCCCTACCCTTCCTTCCCTTCTTAACCGTCCCCTTTCTACCTCCCGCACTAGGAGGACCCAATAAATCATCAATACTCGACGCATTACTCATACCCGTATTTGGTCTACTGGGCGGTGCACTCCCTGTACTAGTTAATCCACTTAAATTGCCACCCATTGCACTTCCATTACTCTGTGTCCTAGCCATTGCAGGTGCCATGGGAGGTTTAACTAATCCACCATCAACCGTCATTCCGCTATCGTCAGATCCGCTAAGTGCTCTTCGAGGCGGTGCACTTGCGGAGCTTACGGATCGGGGAGGCATGCTTATGCTACCTGTTGCGCTTGGGATTACGGTACCGCTAGCTGATCTGGGCGGACCTGCAGCTCTTGGTGGAGGTGGAGTTGCTGATGGAGAGGGTGTATTTTCAGCACCTGCTTTTTTGTTGATCCATCGCTTAAGATCAGGATCATAAACGAAACTACTTTCTTCACCAAGCTTAGCTCTAATGGCTTTCTTCTCCTGTGTCGACTCGGTGGTAGAGGCTTCTTTTTTGCCCCCTCCAAACCAGCCAAGACCCCAACCTTTCTTTTGTGGGGCGGGCTTTTTATCTTTTGCGGCTAGAAAGGGATTAGCATTATTGTGGAGAATAGATCCGAGAATATTCTTACCATCAGCTTCAGCAGCTTTTCGGAAAGCCTCATCAGCTTCCCGATCTTTTTCCGCCTTAGTCTTTTCTCGTGTAGTCTCTGGACGTGCCTTTAATGCAGGTATATCATCATCGTCATCATCCATAAAACTTTTCTTTGGTTTTGTGCTGATAGGTGAATCGGGTTGTTCCATAGAATTGGGTCCGTATGACGGTGGTTCATATCCTGTACTTGATGGTGGCTCATAAGAATTTCCAGTTGGTGTGTTATACCCAGTTGGCGTTTCATATCCAGTTGATGATGGAGGCTCGTATCCACTACCGGATGATTCGTGGTTTGCCATATGTGGTTGATATGTTTGTTGTCCATCATAACTTATAGGCTGGGGTGATTCAAAAGGAGCTGATGGGATTTCCATTGAACTAGTTTGTGGTGTATAAGGAGAATCACCTCCAGTATATGGACTGTAACCAGCACTTTGAGATGTGAAGCTGGAAGCTTGATTGTATTGTTGTGAAATTGGACGACTTTCTGAAGACATTTGTTTTTGTGGTTCATACATGTTGCGACGGAACTCGCCTGAGGACCTACCGCCTTCAAATGAAGCTCGAGATTGAGAACCATGTGAAGAACTTGGTGGTTCGTATGAACCTTGGGGAGTATATGTAGAACCTGGAGCGTATCGTGAAGAAGCTTTCGTTTGTTGAGCTGGTGGCAGAATTCCATTAATACCCAAAGCTCCTCCTCCATTGTAAGAGCTACCGTAAATATCAGCAACAGATGGTGATCGACTTATAGTTGGAGTGCCACCAGCAATACGTGCGAATGGACCAACATCAGCGGAACTTTCAGCATTTGACATAGCATCAGTAGTATCTTGTTCATCACCAGCAACAAACTTATTGAATGTTGCCCATACAGAACCGGATACTTTATCAATGCTAGGCTTTGAAATCCAAGAACCATTTTCATCCTTTGGTGATGATTTTAATCTTTTGCTAAGATCATCAAGTGATGAAACCAATTGGGCATGATGATATGGTGATCGTCTTGTTTGAGAAGTAATGGTTGAAGCAATACTCTCACAATATTCTAAAGCCTTCTGTCGATGCCCATACTCCGCCAGAACTGCAGCGTGGTGTAATTTGTAAACCGCCAAATGTGGATTAGATGCTACAATACTAGAAGTGTTTGACAGCGATAAACCATACTCATATACTTCACTTAAAAGTACTGGTTCCAATTCCCTATCAAAATCAAAAGGCTGCCTCAAATGATCAGAACCGATGAGAACCATATTTGTACTTGGGTCATCAATACCACCAAATACAGATGAACTTCTTGCGAACAAGTAACAAATATGTGCAGCTTCAGCCCTACCATAACCGGAAAGAAGCTTTCCCAAAGCAGCCAAAGCCTTAGTATCATCTGTACTTCGGTTACTGAGAACAAGACCAAGAGTCTCACGCCATCTATCAAGACCTTCCAGTGCATCTTTCGACGGACCTAATGATGTAGATGTGCTGACCATTTGGAAACCAGCACGAGCAGATGGAGGTACAAGCTCATCTATACTCTCTTCAAAATTACCAGCAAATATCTCATACAAGGCGGCAAGAGGTTCAGTGTTGTCACCGACATTCTTGACTTCCTTTTGTACGAATTCTTGGGCAACTTGCTTGTAAAGTTCTTTCGATACGGTGTTTGAGATCAACATTGCATGTGCCCAAAGTCGTTTATCAACAGCTTCCCACACAGCTTTCTCTCGTTCACCCCTTAATAGATGCTTTCTCATTTGATCTACGGCAGCAGGATCCACAGGATCAGCCCGTGTTAGTGTTGCGGACGATGATGAGATTCCAGAGAGGTCCGCTCCAGTTGCGTACAAAGGTGAGTCTTGTCCAACCTCATCGTCAATACCTGGGGAAAGGACAGCCCTGACAGCTTTTTCAACACTAGGGTTTCCTTCTAGAATTCCGTCATTCTCGATAAAGACTTGTAATATCTTCCACAACAGTAAACGTTCTTCAGTACGTTTGTCATCGTGAGACAAAACTCGAATTGACCTCAAATAAGATGCACTTTGTTCCAAGATCTCAATACCGGAGGTCAGCCAACTAAGAACTTCCTTTTTCTTTGCCTTACCTTTTAATGGTCCAGGGAAGCTAGTCAATCTGCTTTCTAGTGGATCAAGATCCTTGACATTGCGAACCTTTACTTCTCCAGGACTTCTGACAACCATTGGTGTTGTTGAAGTCATACCGTACCTCGGTACATCCACGGGGAAAGATGTAATCATGGTACCTCCAACACCCCAAGTGAAAACAGGACAACCCTTCCATCTTTGTAAAGAATCGTGTTCCCGTCCATCTGTAGGAGCGACATAACTGGTTAAAGATGGCGCCCTTGAACGTTTAGGAGCATGAAATATCGGTTGAGTAGGTGTAAAAGCAGCTGCATTCCTAGGAGATAGAGCTTCAATAGAAGCAGGCCTTTGATATGGCTCAGCAATGCTCATTTCAAGTCGAGATCCACCGAAAGCTCTACCAGGAGATTGTGTATGAGATCTCGGCGGTGGAACAAAGCCATGAACTTGAGCTGGACTTAGAGTATTGGAAGGATGTTGTGGCGTGTATTGTGTTGAACCTGTTCGTTTAGGTGGTGATCTCCCCATACGAGCTGCAATACTCGAACTAGGAGAAGTCTGAGAAACAGAATTCATTCCCTGCGCGGATGAACTAAATGACTTCTGATGTTCATCAAAAACCGGGGTATGCGGCACGCTACCATCATTTTCATCAACTTCTCTGGTTGGCGGAAGTGGATGTGCTCTTAGACTTGGCTCGTACCCTGATGAGCTACGGCGATCGTAATTTGGTACCTCTCCACCAGCACCATGCCCACGACCATCTTGACTCCTCTCAAAATGAGCCAAGGGACTCGAAGTGCGAGGCAAATGTGGCAATATCGATTGTGGAGGTGATTGAAGATGCGCTGAAGATTGTGGAGTGTAATGCGAACGTGGTTGGGGAGGAGCAGGGGAGTATCTAGATTGTGGGATTGGAGCTGGGGCACTAGTTGAATGAGTTAATGGTGGCGGCGCTGGAGAATAACGTGATGTAACGGAAGGTACAGTGGTTGGCAACTGTTGACCTGCAGATGGAATAGGAGCATAAGGATTCACACGCTCAGGGGCGACCAAGCCTTGCACCATTGTTGGTGATTGCATTGGTGGCTGAAGGGAGGGGGGTTGTCGCATAGTGGCTTCTTGATGAATTGGAGCGGAATATGGTTGACCAGAAATTGATGCATAGTTTTGTTGGGGTCCGGTAGTTGCAGTCGGGATATACTGCGACGATGCGGGAGCAGGGGTGGTTTGATGTCTAGGAGCGACTTTGGGTCTGGAAAGGATAGGGAGATCCTCGAAAAAACCACTATCTGCTCCGGATTTTGGTTTCTGAGTATTCGGTACAACTGGGGGAGTGTTCATCGCAGGTTTCTGCTGTTGCTGAGGAGGATATGCACTTGGTGGTGGAATATTCATACTGCTGGCTCTAGGTGGAGCTGGCGGTGCTGATGCGTTATACCCACGATTCATTTGATTTGTACTTACACGTTTACGAGGTTTTACAACCTCCATTGGCAAATCATAAGGAGATGCATAGCCTCCTTTTGCTTTATCGGCAAAACTTTGAGCTTTAGGTAGTTCTGGACGTTGCTGCTGCTGGACTGGGTAATTTCCCATAGCGATAGCAGGGTTGAATGGCAAAGAAGTTTCCGGAGTAGTGTTTGATCTGGAAAGATCAGTCAAGAAAGGTGCCACTGGAGCAAAAGACTTATTAGTCTGCGGTTGAACTGTCGGAGCTGCCCCTGCCGGAATATATCGATTGCTCGTACTTCTTGGTTTCGCTTCAGTAGTAGCATCGAATCCAGACACGTGACCATTGGAGCCGTTGATGTCCGAATTAATGGCATCGTTGGTGTCATCTAAAAATCCTTCATCATCGCTCCCGAAAAAAGCGGCTGGATCGACCGCCTTATCTTCAGTTTCCTCGTCATCATCTGGTAAGAGCTCGTCGTCATCGTCCAGAAACTCATCGTCCAATGCTGCTTGCCATTTCGCCGCTAAATCCTCACTACTAGCCTCGCCGGTCGCCTCCTCAATTCCCTCGCCTAAATTCGCCGGAAATTCGGAATCAGGGCCGTCGAATACATCGAGTGCATTTTTTGGGACATTCTCATTATTCGTAACTGGCTCTGGGGAATCATCCCGAGTTTCTGAAAGTTCTGGCGTCGCCTCTAGCGTTCGGTCGTCTTGTTGGAACTGTAGTGAATCCATGACTTGCATAGTTGATTTCCTTTCCAGTGAAGCTTGACCTACATCTAATTCCCCAGGAGCTGATGTAGCAACTTGAGCAAAAAATTCGTTCTCTTCTTCAGCATTGTCTTCATTATTTGGGAGGATGGAGTGATCTGTGCCGGTTTGCGCTTGATCAGTAGACTGAACTAGAGGAATTCCTTCCTCAAATCGTGCGCGAGACTCCTCATCTTCTTCTTGTTTGACATCTCCACCATAAGATTGACCGTAATCTGGTGAATCTCCTGATTCCGATTCAGCTTGTGTTTCTTCAACATCATGTGGAACTTCATCAAAAGCGTCACCCGAGTTGTGTTGTGTGAAGAAATCCCCACCACCATCATGCGCCTCATCGAAAGACACATTACGCGGTGACTGTTCCATCTCATTCATAATATCCTCGGCTTGAGAATGTGGTATAGTGTGTAGAGTTTCTTGCTCGTGAGAAGGAGGTACCACGGGAAAAGAGTTCGTTCGATCGGATTTGGGCATCATCCTGAAAGGATCTGTATTTGTGCGCGATAGATTCCATTCCGAGTCTACTTCATCATCTTCACCCCAACTTACTTCATGCGATGTCCTCGCGAAGGAATTCGTGCTAACATGCTTAATATCGTTCGAAGGCCCTGTGGTTGGAAAATCTGCTTTATCTTCCTGAGCGACGTTTGTTTCTATTCCTTCATGCGATGGACTTTCATCCATTTCCACACCTCCCGGGCTTTTCAATGATGAAGTGAGCGCATTTCGCAGATCGGATAATTCAGGATGGTGCGTATTGTCTTCTCCCGATCCATCCTCTTCTACGTCTAAATCCCTTTCCTCATCGAATGTTGTATTATCTCCAACTGCCGGCTCTTCCCTAGTGGCTGACGGAGGGTTCAAAAGCTCGTGGTCACTGGCCGGTTCCGCATCTGCGATCGGTATTGAGGCAGGTTTCGCGGTAATTATATCTGCGGTGGCATTTGGCATAAATGCTGGATGCCATGATTGATTCCCGGATTCCGATGGCATCGCTATTCTTGTATCCTAGAAAAGAACAGCTGGACGCTATACTGAAGACATTAGTAAATGTACAAGTGTTGGTTATACATGATATGTATGCACATCAAGTCGAAATAACGCCGTGTAAGCAAAGGTAGCAAGAAGGTAGAGATATATTGATGAATATCAAAGTCAATGATGGGTGCTCAAAACTCACTTATACAATTGAAGACCTCTTTCCGCTCAAGAACAAAATGCAATTAAAACAATGATATATTTTTGACCGAAACTTGATTCATAACTACAAAGGGTGTACTCTTCTTTTTTATGAAGAAGTAAAAGAGAACAGTTAATCAAGTGCCGGTATAGATGGGAAGAGAAGTAAGGTTTGATAATGTGAGAGTTCTCAAAGGACTCGGACTATTTCTCATGGTCAAGGAGTTCCATCCACCAGTGAGGCGACCTGGCTTGTGAGGCGGAGAAGGCTGAGGTTTTGCTATCTAGTCTACTAGTACTCAATTCCGCGACAAGGTTGGGACATTCGCGACAGGAACAGAAAGCCGAACATCCAAAATCGAAGATGACAACTTTATCTAAAATGACAATTCGATTGGACAATGAAAGATATGGTCCTTCAGGCTAAAATACTTTTGTTAGTTCTCATTGAAGCCGACAATTAATCAAAATAACCTTTTCACGCTTCCTGGATTGATGTTTGATTTTTCCGCCAGGTCCCGAGTTACCGTTTACTTTTACCTACCTACCTATATGTAGGACCGGTGTACTCTGTCTGTAGGGAGTAGCACCAAGATAGGTAGGGCAGTCAGGCCAGCTATTGATGATGAACGAATCACGTCAAAGAGCACTGACCTAGGTAAGACGTGCCTAGTAATGATAGAACCTAATGATGGGAAACCCCGAGCATATGAAAATGTTTCGTGATGGAAACATGTGCTAGTATTACCTAGTAGGTACTAATAGTTGATGCTGTTATATTCTATTCATATGTTATATTTATGAATGGTTCTACTTATGATTGAATTGTTATATATGTATATACCTGTAAATATATATAATATTATATATACGTCGTCATAATTAAAGAGAAGAACCCTTTGAAATGTTATTAATACAATGCCGGTACATCAGATGAAATTGCTATATTTGTCCTTATCACTTGCTTAGCTCATGTTATCATCCCTACATGGATCACTCCGTACCGTTAAACTGTTACACCCTAGAAATTCCATCAAATCGACTCCGCAGGGACGAGGCTACCATCCCTAATGGTGCTGTAACTTTGTAACTTTAATTATTACTATTGACGACGTTGATTTCACGGCTGAGACCTTTTTCATAAAAAATAATATCACAATAGAAAAATCAATAACTCTCTCTTCTTCCCAGTTCATAAAAATTACCTAATTCATTTCAACCCTGATTTTATGATCGCACTTTCAACCGCATCAATGAGGTATGTCTTCAAGCTCTGCATATCATCAACCAAATCCACCGGATTCTCCTGTGGATGATGCGGATTCCGACCTTGAGCTGGACTTGCAGGAACTGGATCCAATAGCTTCTCCAACCTCAAAATCTTCACCTTCTTCTTCACGCAATCAAAATTTTTCAAGAGAAGACAGAAGAGGCCCTCATATCCCTTTAAGAAATCTGCGTATGGGTGGCCTGCGGAATTTTGGAAGAAATAGAGGATATGGTGATTTAGGAAGAAACAGGGATGTTGATACAGATAGTGAAGATCTGCGAGGTTTATTAAATGTCGATTTTGGGGGGGATGGGATGGACGGAACATCAGGAGGGGGTTCGAATGCCGCAGACGACGATGCACCTTTATTACCTGGAGATGGAGGTGAAAGTTCTCAAAGACGACGTCGGTCAAGCTTCGATAAGGTAAAGAATATTTCCTCGCAGCTTCGACTTCCAAGCTTCCTATCGGGAAGTACACCGCAGCCACCACCAGAAGAGGGGGAAGAACAAGAAGACGACCATGATCCAGCTTCATCTAGGACGGTTCAAGTTGGTGCCACACAAACCTCTCGATTTCCTCCTAATGCCGTTTCGAATGCGAAATATACCCCTATCAGCTTTTTACCACGAACTCTGTATAACGAATTTTCTTTCTTCTTCAACATGTACTTTTTACTCGTCGCTTTATCTCAGGCAATACCACCTCTGCGAATTGGATACCTTTCAACATATATTGTACCTTTACTATTTGTTTTAGCGATCACCTTGGGGAAGGAGGCTTTTGACGACGTTGGTAGGCGGAAACGAGATGCCGAGGCGAATTCCGAAGGATACACTGTCCTATGTTTCGATAAACCATCAATAGCGGACACAGCCAAATATAGTGCAAGGAGGAAGTTAAAGTCCAAGGGGAAATTGAAAAAAGGAAGACCTCTTCTTCAGCCGGACCGATTATCAGATATACAAGAGGAGGAGGAGAATGCAGAAAGTCAGGGAAGAGATGCACCAAGTACGACTGTACGTGAAGTGGTTCGAAAGTCCCGAGATTTAAAGGTTGGAGATGTTTTGAAATTAGGGAAGGATCAAAGAGTTCCTGCAGATGTCGTTATTCTGAAGAGTACAGCCAATGAATCTTCAGCTGCGGTATCACACGAACCTGCTGTGACCAATATTGCTGAACCTTCTGAGTCTTTACTGGTGGATCCGATATCTGAACCTTCAATTGATCAATCTACAGCTACTACTTCAGAAGCTCGAGAGTCAACATCTCAGCTTGGAAATACACCTTCCGCGGATGCTGCTGGTGCTGGTGAAACTTTTATTCGAACCGATCAATTGGATGGTGAGACGGATTGGAAGTTAAGATTGGGTTCTCCTCTAACACAATCTCTTGATCCATCCGAGTTCGTACGTCTTCGTGTTGTGGCTGGGAAGCCTGATAAGAAGGTCAATGAGTTCATCGGGACCGTTAGTCTTCTTCCAAAAGGCACTGATGGGTACGATCCACATTTGCCGAAAGGAGGAGCGAATCCAGATGATGAGCAGAGTGGAGATTCAGCGCCTTTAACGATTGACAATACTGCCTGGGCTAACACTGTTCTTGCATCAAGTGCTACTACCCTGGCTGTAATCATTTATACTGGACCTCAAACTCGATCAGCACTTTCCACATCTCCGTCTCGATCAAAGACCGGCCTTTTAGAAAATGAGATCAACTCTCTCACCAAAATTCTTTGCGCTTTGACACTTACATTATCTATTGTACTTGTAGCATTGGAAGGTTTCGAACATGTTGAAGGCGTCAAATGGTATGTTAAAATCATGAGATTCTTGGTATTGTTTTCTACCATTGTTCCTATCAGTCTTCGTGTCAACCTGGACATGGGGAAGAGTGTTTACTCTTGGTTTATTCAACGAGATCCAGGGATTGAAGGAGCCGTCGTACGCACAAGTACTATACCTGAAGAACTTGGCCGAATTGAATATTTACTCAGTGACAAGACTGGAACACTCACACAAAATGAAATGGAAATGAAGAAAATTCACGTCGGAACTGTCTCATATGCAAATGAGGCAATGGATGAAGTGGCTTCCTACGTCAAGCAAGGATTTTCAGTTCCAGTAGATGCAAATCAGTCTTCAGTACTTGTTACGCCTTCTTCTGTCGCTTCAACTACTATCACCGCCACTCGAACACGAAGAGAAATTGGATCACGTGTGCGTGATGTAGTTCTCGCCCTTGCCCTTTGCCACAATGTTACTCCAACTATCGAGGAAATAGATGGTCAAGAAGTAGCATCTTATCAAGCTTCTTCACCTGATGAGATTGCGATTGTTAAATGGACCGAAGCTGTTGGCTTAAGATTGGTTCACCGTGATAGAAAAGGCATGCTTCTACAATCAGTAGATACGGGTCGCTCGGTTGTTCGTGTTCGTATCCTTGAAGTTTTCCCATTCACTTCGGAAGGAAAACGTATGGGTATCATTGTCCAGTTCCTTGATGGTTCGGAAACATCTTCTAGCAGCAATCTTGAAGCTGGAGAAATTTGGTTTTATCAAAAAGGTGCTGATACCGTTATGACTTCGATTGTTGCTGCAAATGATTGGCTTGATGAAGAAACTGCAAATATGGCTAGAGAAGGTCTTCGTACTTTGGTCGTTGGAAGAAAAAAGATGTCAGTTCAGAGTTACCATGACTTTTCTCAAAGCTATAAAGAAGCTTCGGTTTCCATCAATAATCGAGATGCCGGTATGGCTCGTGTCGTTTCACATTACCTCGAAAAAGATCTCGAACTTTTAGGTGTAACTGGTGTTGAGGATAAACTTCAAAGAGATGTTAAACCATCTTTGGAATTATTACGAAATGCTGGTATCAAAATTTGGATGTTGACAGGTGATAAGGTCGAAACTGCTCGTTGTGTTGCTGTCAGTGCCAAGTTAGTAGCCAGAGGTCAATATATCCATACCATCGACAAATTGAAACGCAAGGACAACGCCCAAGATCATCTCGACTTTCTTCGTGGTAAAACTGACGCATGTCTACTCATCGATGGGGAGAGCTTAGCTTTACTTTTAACACATTTCCGCAATGAATTCATCTCTTTGGCAGTTCTTCTTCCAGCAGTCGTTGCATGTCGATGTTCTCCAACTCAAAAAGCTGATGTCGCCAAACTCATTCGAGAATATACCAAAAAACGTGTTTGTTGTATTGGAGATGGTGGAAATGATGTTTCTATGATTCAAGCTGCAGATGTTGGTGTAGGTATTGTTGGAAAAGAAGGTAGACAAGCTAGTCTCGCAGCCGATTTCTCCATCGAACAATTTTGTCATCTCACCAAACTTCTCGTCTGGCATGGTCGAAATAGTTATAAGCGCAGTGCCAAACTCGCTCAATTCGTTATTCATCGAGGTCTGATCATTAGCGTTTGTCAAACAATGTATAGCATCGCCATTAAATTCGAACCAGAAGGCTTATACAAGGATTGGCTCCTCGTCGGATACGCAACCGTTTATACCATGGCACCTGTCTTCTCTCTCGTCCTCGATAAAGACGTCGATGAAAATCTCGCAAATCTCTACCCGGAACTCTACAAGGAACTTACATCCGGTTCTTCACTTTCCTATCGTACATTCTTCGTTTGGGTCTTTGTGTCTATTTATCAAGGTGGAATGATTCAAGGTCTTTCGCAAATACTTACAGAAGTTGATGGACCTAGAATGGTAGCCGTTAGCTTTACAGTGTTGGTTCTTAACGAACTTACCATGGTGGCGTTCGAAATCACAACGTGGCACCCGGTTATGATCGTTAGTTTGATTGGTACTCTGTTTTTGTATCTGGGTAGTATACCCTTCCTGGGAGGATACTTTGATTTAGGATTTATTCTTACCTGGTGAGTTTTTTGTCATCTCAAGCTACATTGTGATGTTTTACACGATTACCTGGAGGACTTTCCGATGAATGTGGAGAATTTTAACTAATGATATCATAGGGGCTTTGTATGGAGAGTCGCGGCTATTTCGGCAGTTTCGCTCATTCCGCCTTATGTTGTGAAATTGATTAGGAGGACAATTAAACCACCGAGTTATAGGAAGGTGCAAGGGATTTGAGGGATGTCGTTGAGGGGGATCTTGTTGCTTGGTGGTGGATGTTGAAAAGTGAATGATGCGTGATGAGTGCTTGGGAAGTAGTATGGGAAAAATCAAGCGTGGAGGAGAATTTGTTTGTTGGATGTTCGTGCGTGCATAGCATTGGCGTTTTGGGAATAGAGGGATGGATGGAGGGAGGAGGGGAAAGGAGAAAGGGGAAAGGGAAAAGGGGGAGTGAATTGTTTGGTGGTGGTTGTGGTTTTGTGGGTTTGTTTGTTTGTTAATGGGTTGTGAGTTAGCGAGTTAGTGAGTGAATGGGTGGGTGCCGTAGTAGCTGTGAATTGATAATTGAGGAAATATTATTCTTTATTTATTGAGATTTTTTGAGTGGTGATGTGAATGATGTAATATAAAATGAAAATGGGATAAAATGATATAAAATCAATATTGAATATTTGAATAATAAACAGTAAATATTAAATTTATGTTATATAATATTATAATCAAAATCAAAATTAAAGTTAGAATTAGTCACTTCTCAGAAGTGAAGTAAATGAGTATAAGATTCTAGGGCTATAATTATGATGGCGGTGCTAGGTAAGATTATTGAAATTTTTATAGTCTTACAAAGATATAAAGGGAAAGAGAGAGAGAGAGAGAGAGGTAGGGAAAGAAGAAAGAGAGTTAAAAGATGATGGAGGGTGTGGGAGAAGGAAAAGGAAAGAAGAGGAGAGGTAAGAGGAGAGGGGGAAAGAGAGAGATAGATATTTTATTAATAATTTTAATTATTAAGATATGAAGATTGAGATTTAAGAGATAGAATGGATAGAATGGATATGTAGTGTTGTACAGTGCATTTTGATACCCGTCCTTTCTCCTATGCATGATATGATCTGACGATTTCATATTTATCTGATGATAGATCACTTCACTCTCATCGTGTGATTTGATCGACTCTTTTGAAAAAAAAAGAGGTCAATTGTAGGTAATCATAATTGGATTTTATATCTCGCTGTTGATTATGAATATTAAAATCCAAGCATTAGTACAGTATATTATTTACGAACTAAGGAGCAGAGAAAGCATCAAACTCAGATGATAGGATATGATGAATAGCAGATTCTGCTAATGCTGTATGTTTTCAGCGAGTTGAAAGTGGTAGAAGATGCTGAGGCATAAACTGGCAAAATTCACTGGCACTGTTGCTTGGAGAGAGATTAGATAGGTCTTATTTATTGATTTTATTCACTGTGGATTAAGATTTTCATGAGACTGGACCTGATAAAATACAGCCCTGGAAATCTACTAGGACGACAGGATTCCCGCGATCAAACTGTGTTTATTTAACCTCTCAACAAGTCACCGACCTCAATATTTCTTTCTTTCTTTGAATATCTACCAGGTAAGATTTTACCTTGAATCGCAATACCCATTTTTTTAATAATTTTCCTGGTTTCAAATTTTGAGCATTTCGATTACAGTCTCAATCTTTGGCATTTGAAATTATTACAATCATGGAAAGGGCTCAGGAAGATCATAGAACGTAAGCCGCCTAGATCCACATCCAGAGAGAAGAACTGCATCCACAAGCTAATACATACCTTGCAGTCATCTACATCGAGTCGCATCCTCAAATCTACCAATCATATCTCGAGAATCCTGGGAGTACTATATTGCAATTTTACAACCAGGTATTCCACTGGAAAAATGTGAACACGGGGACTTCTTATGGATAAAGGTCGATCGGGTATGAACTCATTTTCATTCCTCGGTTTTTAATGTCGAGAACTGATTGATATCTTAAAAGATGGTCACAATTGATAAAATTCTCAAATTACACTTCGAAAGAACCGGTCGAAATTCAATACTTATGGATGGAGGAATTGGGTTGACAATTGATATGAGAGTGAGGGATATAGCTTGCTTGGGATTGGGTGTATACGCTTTTTGGGAGATTGTGAAGGTAGAAGATGGTGGGAGTACAAGGTTCGACCGACTGAAATTGGTGGGAGCTTGGGGGTGATGAAAGAAGCAGAACACGCTGGGTCGAGAGGAAAAAGGTCTGGCCCAATGTTAACAGTAGAACAACTAATGTTGATGTCACAAAAGAGGTATAAAAAGGAACAGCGATGGAGCTGGGAAGCTGATGTTCCTTCGACTAACTTAAATGGTGCATCGATCGGAAGCAGAAGTCGTGGCAGTCGGCTCAAAGATTCGATGGCTTCCGAGAGCAAAGTTATGACGGGGAAGGAAGAACCCATGGAGTCATCTACGTCGAACATGATGCCTCCAATCCAGGCAAACGTAGAAATACGTGCTAGCAGAAGGTTGGAAATAGGCCATAATTTGCATAGTTATATGATGCAAGAGTATAGCGGGCGGAGCATGAAACGATGGAGAGCAGACTCAGAGAACGAATCAGACGCAACGGCCAAACAAAGGAGAACAAAGTTGGACAATGAATTAGAACCTAACAGGTTGAGAAACAAAAGATGTTGACCTCCTGGGATCTTGGCAGCATATGCATATATATTGCATGATGCATATAAGGAGCAAACAAAACTCAACTTTTAATTCATTCTTTCCTTTTTGGTATACTGTTTGTTTGCTTTCAATATTTTGATTTCAAAGCACTCTAATTCCGAAGGCTGAATACCTAACCTTATTCCTTCATTTTTTGAATATATACTCGCAGCTTAACTGCTTAGCTAGAGAATCAATCAATTCAATCTGATGCTCTTTCTGGTCTCAAGAAACCCAATAAAAGAGCACCAACAACTGATACCCCGAAGCCCTTCGCAGAAAGCGCAAACATGGAGTTACGACGGCACGATGACTACGTGAATAATGAGCAGAAGAATATGCTTGGAAACGAGAAAAAAACTCAGACAAGGAGAATATAAAATGCTGGAGAGTTTTGAGATTTTGTGGGAGCAGCAACGCCAAGATATCATCAATAGAGATCCACAATTTAAGCGGAGTATAGGTGACACTCAAGGGCTTTCAGGGCAGCAATACAAATTCTACCCTCCATCATTCAGATGTAAGAATAATAGAAAAGAAATGAGAATCACAGCAAGATATGCCTTAGCTTCAAGACTATTCAGAAACAGCTTGACGTCGAGAAGTGCCGATATCCACACTCATGCTTTACCCTACGCTACACCCATGATGCTGTGCATTTTGAATGTTGATTTTGTCCCTAGAATGATATTTACGTTGGTTTGAAAGATGCTCATAAAATAAAAGGTCGAGTGAAGAGTCATCAAGAGTCGAAATATCATCTGGGCGGATACTTTGAAGTCAAGAACTAGGGAATCGAAGAGTAAGATGCTAGAAATTGAATTTAAGAACGATTTATAAAATCTGTTTTGTTTCGGTTGTTTCGGTTGTTCCGGTTGTTCCTACTGCGGCTGATAGATGTCTAGATCATTAGGATAAAAGCATGGCAGAGTCGGGCCTAGTAGCGCTTCATGGCAAATATCGAGATTGTGAGATGCGTATAATGGACAATCATTGGATTACAGTATTGCAGAGATTAGGCTCCAAATACATAGTACGATCTGGATGCTAAAATTTTTCTCGACCGCTGCGTCTGTATGGTGTATGAGATGATGCGGTAGTGATAAATTTCAATGTTACTTCACATATGCTTTCAGTTATCAAAGACGTCTCCGAATAAGAATTTGCCGGTACCTCTGACACTATCATTATTGGTATATAGACCCTACTCAAGGAGCTCAAACTCAAGCAAATAAACTAATCGAAGACTTGAAAAAGTAATACCGAGTAATATGGTACCGGTAAGAAAACCAGAACACATTCAATTTAACAAAATCCCGTCACGGAAAGCATCCATACATACTTGTATCTTTGCAACAGCTATTAGCATCAAACAATCTGCTCTCCACTCATATCACTTTCACCACTACTAGTACTGGCATTTTCCATCAGTAGTACCTTATCAGTATCTCGAGCTGTCTCAATCTGAGCTTTCAACCGTGGGAATAGATCTAGTGCCGTTTGTCTCATCACAGCCTTTCCTTCTTCACCATTCTTATATATCCAGCTATGTAAGAAGCTTAACTCTCTCGCTGTATTTTTCTCTCTATTGAATGGAAAATCACTTCCATATGTAGTTTTACCTGGCCCCAACCACTTTTCTACATATTCCATAGGTCCGCTGTAACTGCTCGCCGCTAAGTCGGTATAAAAGGTTTTGGCTTCTCGCGTGAATTGTTCGGGTGTCTTCACACTAGGAGAAGCGTCATGAGTTGAGTTTGCCATGCAGGTACTGATGTAAGGAAAAGTACCTCCTGCGTGTGAAAGAATAACTTTGAGGTTGGGGTAGGAGGATAGAGTATTGGAATAAATAAGGGAACAAGCCGTAAGAGTTATTTCGTGCGTTAAGTCGACTATTGAAGGGATTGGGGAGTGATGAATTAAAGACGGCGGGACGAGCGAATTAGCAATGGGGTAGATAAATACCACTGCGTGGACTCTATTCAATTCTTCCCACACAGGCCGAAATAATTCATGTCCGAGGTATTTCCCATCGTAGCTGGTAAAGAGCGTAACTCCCTCTGGATTGAGTTTCTCATAACAAAATTTGAGACTGGATAGTACGTCCGGTATAGAAGATACAGTTATCGATGGAATCGTGGCGAAGAATCCGAATTTTGTGGGATATTGGAGACGTAAGTTGTGCGCGTAAATGTTTATTTCTTGGCAGAGTGAAGGGTCTTCGAGAGCGGTATGGGCAAATGAGAGGATAGAGGTAGAAATGGAGTTTCGCGCCATAAAATCGAGAGAGATCTGCGGGGACCATGTGGGAAGTAGTATGTCATCCGGTCCTTTCGGTTCCTGCTTTATACCTGGAAGAGTTGTCAGATTCGCATGATGAAATCAAGAAGATAGAAATAATGAGAAGAGCTGGTGGAGAATGAGCGGGCCTATGCATACGCTCGAGGTAGACTGGCGGAATCATATGGTGATGGGTATCTATTTTCTCCATTCTTCTTGATGGCTGAATATTCGGTGAAATTCTAGTAATTTGGGATCGTGGTGTTATATATCGAAGTCGCAATTTTCCAATGTGGTAACGTATAAAAGGACTCACGTCTTCTCTATTGACTTTGATGTAAGTTAGATTATGCTGATGCGGTGGGGAGGGCACATACTGTAAAAGACTACACATGTTATTGTGGAGAGAACGGCGACGATTATTATGCATAATGCAATTACAGATATTGCTGACATTCTGTATACTTCTCAATCTGGCTGTCGAAAGGGTCAAAATGTATACTTCGCATCAATTGGCACTGGGGCTGAGGGTACTGTTGTTGCCAGTTTCAATAAACAGAATTGACATTAGAGGTACACATACTCTCGTGTGTACATCAAGAGGTTGCGCAATGATATCATAAACATAGCCCATGATCTCTCAGATCTGATGACTCTGTTCGTTTAATCACTTAACGTCAAGATGCTGTATAACAACAGCTTAAAAAGCGCGGACTAGATCGCCTTCATCCTAGACCTATATGATCTTAAAAACCAAGATTCTTTACGGGCTTCATTTTGAACCCTGGAAGAAATTTTGAAGAGTCATCGGGTTCTTTCATATAGTCTTTTATATCAGATACCGGGCCTCACATTTCGATAACGAGACGTTGAGTACTTCGACCAACGTCATAACATAGAGTTACCTCGAACGTTTAAATCAAACCCTCACCACCTGCCAGCCGAAGACAGTACTATACTGACCCATGTTTAGGTACTTACGTCTTGTGGGATAAGATGATTGGTACAGCTACTTAACGTTTCGGATAGATGTCCGAGAAGTGCACATGAAATATTTTCTGCAAACCCCCAGGTTCCAAGATAGAATTTCAATAACACGCTTGTGCCATATCACAATCTCGATCTTCAAGATCAGCGATCAGCGATCAAATGTTTCACGAGAGGTCGGCCGAGATGTAACTCTGTGTAACTGATATTGAATGAACTCGCCATATAATTGCGCTGACCCGGTAAACTTGAATCTCGCTTCCCTTTCGGTGCCTAGCTATCACACCAATGAGGGTTTGCTCGATCTTGCTGATACCTGTTGTGGAACAGCTACAGGACGAAATTACGTCGATAAAGAAAAAGGCACAAAATCTATTTTTGGAACACATGGACTCTGGGTAGGCAAAGAAACGCGTGATATAGCGAGAACAAGAGCTGTCCGGTATGTGAGTAGCTATAAATTTACCTAGCGCCCCTAGTGAGACCTTGACTGCAAGCGAGGTCACTCTCATGTGAGTTTGTTGCTTCGTTGTAGAACCCCAGAGGATCACATTTGCTGAGACATGATTTTCCGACTTTGAGGTATTTTTTCCTCAGTATCTTGCAGCAGGCTTGCTGGAGCTATAGATAATTTTGAACACAGCAGTCTATTGGCCAGAGGAATATCGTAGGCCGTGATATCTTCCTTGTAAGCATCTTCAAATAATCTGCCGTATATAGTCGATAATCCGAAGTTTTTTTTTTCATCCATCCACAATGTCGTTGATAACCTTGCAGCCAAGCACCAAAAACGCAATAGCATTTGCAGCTTTTCTGTTTGGTTGTGTAAATATCGTAATGCTACTGAAACTTCATAACTAACAAAACTTTAGCATTAAGTCTTCTTCGCAGTCTATGATCTCTATATCTCACCATTGTCCAGACTCCACCCAAAGCGTCTATCCATCTCCCGATTTTCTTGAATACGATATGTGGATTCTTGGAACTACTTAAAGACATCTCGATAGGGTTCACGAAAAGTATGAACCAGCTGTTCGAAAAGCTCCGGTGAGCCTACCACTATTTCTCCAGAAGCATGGAAAGATACCTACACTAGGAGGCTAGAATGACAAAATACTTATAATATGGCTTATCCTATGAATGGCGTGGAGTCTTTTTTCACCGCGACTGGTGATACACACATTACGATTCGAAGAATTTTGCCAATGCTTTTTCCGACAAAGCATTGAGCGAACAGAGCAAAAGTATCAAGGCTATACAGAACTTGAACTTCAAAAATTGAGCGTGAGATAGCGAAGAGTCTTTCCAGTGAGGTTGACTTGGCAAAAATTTTCGGATAGCTATCACTAGGCGGATACGCTGATTTAAGTTTGCGGAGTATTCTCATGGCCTGAAAGGCGACAATGAACATTCTTCACTTTTAGGATTCTTCCTCTGTGCTAAGCTTGGATCTAATTATTAGAAATAGTATACAAAGATTTCATCCACTCGAAGTGATTTTTTGTTGGATATACCTTCGATTAACTGCAGAAATGAGAGCACAAAATTGAAACTTGCAACAGACAGAATGACTAGTAGCCTAGAAATGGGAGGTCTTAGATCCGAAAGATCTGATATCGTTGGCACTATTATTGGGAATGTGAATGAGTTGAGAGGTGGAAAAGAAATAAATACGGATGGGCTCGCACAATTACCTACGCGCGGTTGCTTTGGCGACTGCATATTATTTTTTGATGAGATTTCCAACGACAATCAGGATATTGACTGAACAGATAACATCGCGTCATTCCTGACAAAAAGATGTCAATTTTCAATCGGCGTCGGAGTTTTCTTATTTGGAATCGGTATGTTCGCAGTCAAAATGACTTCGCCTTCCTGTTTACATCGATCAGGATGCAATTCCCCGTTCCTTTGTTCAATATCATCCATCAACTTCCTCATCTTGGTCTCTAATTCTGGAAACATTCGTCCAGAGCTGGTGAATTTCAACAGACAAATGAAATTTCAGAATCTCTATTTACTGTATAAATCCGAAGATCTCGTGTAGTCTTTCCCTTCGCACTCAGCATGCTTGATCGATGGGAATTCATAGTCGCAGACCCAGCGCCAATAAGATCTCAAATTGACGAATGTAATATATATAGAATATCAACATTGGTGTTGAAATACATGCAATGATATTCATGTCTGAATGAACATTTTGCGTTGAATAATAGCTTGTACTCTGATAATGCAACCGTGCAACCTGTACGTTTGATTTATAAATGGATCTAACTTGATAAGGATTTGATCTAATGTCAATTTTCGAGGCGTCTTAGCAAGGGGATTGACGAAAGTAATGTTTTGGACTTTGTATGTTGCAGGTCCTCGTCGGAGGAAAGCATGTCGTAGAAAGTGTTTAATCGTGAGAACTCTTGTTGAGCGTCTCTGTGAATCTGGTGGGCTGGAGCTTTTCGATGAATGCCTTGCTATATTTACGTATTCAGGTAGTAATGGTAGGATATTCACCGTGCTTACCTCTTAGTGGATGATATGAAACATGAATTTTCCCTGCTCAAGATAATATACTGTGAATTGATGCCGTAGTTACTGGGCAAATATTGACTAAATTCGCGGAAATTTAAAGGTAAGGCCTTCTACGGACTTTGCTTTTCCTTTGCCAACTTCCCTAATTGAAGGTATCAGAGAAGGATCTCCAATGTCAGAATTAAGATCACTCACTTTTGAATATTCTTTATTGCAGCAAATATGGCCTAGCTTACCTGAAGACTGTGAATGTGCTCTACTTGGAACTCTACCAATATATAACGTAGCTATTCAGATTTGGGAAAGAAAATTCTCATTGTGAATATCGAGCACATCACCTTTGGATTCACGGATGATCCACTTCGCCTCCGTAAGAACTCCAAAAATTGGAATCATGGCATTTTAATCATTCAGAATACCAAGACCGCGACCATTTTTGGAAGTCATCGAATAATTAAGCGGAAATTACTTCGAATATAAACTATATAATGGGGCTATTTCTGCTTAAAGATCCTCCATTTTCCAAACTCAACAACCACCACCATTACTATTACAAAAGAAACCTTCAAAAAAATCATAAATTATCTTACACCAAATCATATCCATATTCAAACCCCCCACTCCAGCTACAACTCACACGATGGCATCGCGTATCGACTTAAACGTTTCTGTCCAGCTTAACGGCCACCCTTTATTCAGATCGCCCCAGGTAGCCATCAGCTCCACACGCACCCGAGCTATACAAAGCATCATTGATAAATGCGCTCAAGAAATAGAATATCAACTTACTCGAGCAGGCGCAGATGAGAGAAGAGATGCAGAAGAAGATAGAAGAATTCAGGAACGTACGAGAGAGTTTATGCAAAATCATGAACAATCTTGGGATGCTCGATTTTAAGCGGTTGAGTGGGTTACGGGGAAGGCTAGTGAGGTAGTTGTAGGGATTTAGTGATGGATTTTCTCCCGTACAGCTAGGACGTGGGCACCGTTCAGTGTAGCGCCAGTTCGAAGGGGTCGTCCATCAGCACTTAGCAAATAGAAATTCAGTATTTACCAAGTATTGTGGGACATTCATACGTGATTCTCTGCGGCTGCAATACCCAAGAATTCTTTGTGAGTGTCAAGGGAACATGAGTAATGTGTACTAAGTACGAGACAAATGCCAATAATTATTGTTTAGGTGTGGCGCGTGGCTGAAGTAAACGATTGAACCAACTGTGACAAAGAAATATTAGCTGCGCCATTTTTGGTGTACCATCAAAATTTGTGTTGCAGAAGCGAACGTTTTCAAAGTTGCAGAGACATGAAAACAAAAGAAATAGGATTCAGCGGAGACTTTTAGAACTCTCGAAACGTTCATAAAATCAGCTTATTTCTTTCTAAAAAGAACAGCGCAGCTGTAACCAGGATTTAGCTGTATGTAATTCATAGGATAGCGATTGTTGGCGTAGTAAACTACTTCAATTTGTAGCGAAAGTCCTGAAAAGCAAGTACAGATGCACTAGGGCAGAGTTTCTCAAACAACCGACTTCAACTTTGATAATCAACACGATACGATGGCGACAAAGTCTAGAAATTTCATGCTTTTCTGCCAATGACAAGTTCCATGCGGCCCATGTGCGCTTTCATTGATGTACTCATGATATCTCGGACCTGCAACGATGCCCACACTTTCATAACGCCCACAATCGCATGAATGTCCTCATTCTTACCCGCATCCGCCTGATCTCGTCATTCCGAGCAGGTCTAAATTGTGCCCAAGACCAAGTGCGCTGTGAATTCCCATTTGTGATATCGAATTTGATATCAGACCATTCATCGCGAACTTGGTGAATGGACTCGGATGAGATTCAAGATATCGCGGAAAAAGGATCTTTGACCTCGCGGAGCTTATTTGAGCATCCGCGATTGCCATGCTTGGGAACCATAAGGCTATGATGTCGTGTACGACGACTTTTATCCTCAACATTGAATTCGGAGTACCTGCTGGGCATGAGCCCCCCTTACGACTGCGAATTCAATGCTACATTTTCATTGAAAAATATGGAGTACTGGCGAAGCAACGAGAGGGCTATCAATACCGGAATCGAGGGACCGTTTAAAAAAGGCCTGTATATTGCAGGACTTATCAGTGCATTTCAAGAGTCAAATGGAGTTCGCTATCTTTTGTGAAGTGGATGAAGTGGTAGTGGGTCAAAGGCACGTGATCATGTGGCGTAAACAGCACGGCTGCGCTAAAAGCTAGACCTTTCATCGAACTAAGAATCAGCACCCAAGAAAATGATAAACTCCGTGAGAGAGAGAGGCCTGTCCTGCGGGTATGATCATGATTCGTCGACTTCAGTTCAAAGCGATGGCTGCGGGGCTAGGGAAAGGGCTCGTGTTTCCGCCATGATGCACTCGAATTGCTCAAATGATTCGTTGGTTACAAAGACTGTCTCGATACGGATTCTTTGGGCCTTCGAAATTGCAAGTCACTGAAGAAACCTCTATGCGGCTCTTTTACCATTGCGCAATTCCATAAATCATTCTAAAGGGTGTTTTGGACATTGAAGAGGACAAGCACCAACGCCGTCATTTCTTGGCGAAGTTCTGCACCATTTGAGAATCCAATTATATCTATGCTATGTATATGCCGATATTTTTGGTAAAGAGTCTGATATGTCATCAGCCTTACTAGTTTAAGACGATTAAAAGCTTGTGATCAGCCAGGGGTTCGTCTGTATTTTTTCAGATGCATCAACCTTCTCAGCTAGGTGGTCCAAATAGAGGCTTGGAAATAAAAGGAGAATTATCAACCGATTGGATAATACTTCGGCTAGTAAGCTTTCCATCTGATCTAGATTTAAGCTAAGATATGACGGTCAGGATATTAGGTTCTGCGGTAAGATCCTACATCTTAGACATTGCAGAATTTGTTGCCGGACTCCGGAACAAACGAGGGGCGTTCTGAGGACTTGCCGCACAGTTATTATCGGGATATCACCATGAGTCGGTACCACTTAGCTATCTTGGTAATTTTCCCTGGAGTAAAGTGGTGGTATTTAGATTATTTGCATTGAATTATGCACATCATGGTCAAAAAAGGTTCTTCTCGGTCTCGATGGTATCTGATATTGAACCAGGGAAATGGAAATCTCCAGCTCAATTGACGACTTCTTTTGTGCTACATAGATTATTCGTGTAGCTCGGATTGAAAATTATGTATAAGGAAGGATTTAATGTTTGCCGTTGGTTGCAGCATAGTTTATGAGTGGTGTCGTTAGCTTAGAGCCACTTTAGTTTGAAACCTCCATGAACATTAGCGACCGGGAGTGCTCATGCTAGCTCAACGACGGCGCCATAGTTGACAACCACTATAACAACAGCTTCGGAGATGGACCGTCTATGGCGAATGGCTGAACACAACAATCAATCGACACGGCCACTAACCTCGAGATAGTTCAGGTTCTTTCCTCTTCCAAATCATCGTACTTTTCGGCATATGGAGAAAATTGCAATGGTACATGGCAAAACGTGCAAATTCTGGAACCACCGGTCTAACCGACGCTTTCTTCGTAGAAATCGATTTTCATACCTTTGAACTATTGACTCAGGTTTCAGGGAAGTCTCTCTAGACTTGAACAAATGATTACATTTTTTGTTGTTTGCTGTGTATAAATACACAATCACCTCCTCGGTATATTTACTCTTTTTCATTATCAAGCAGAGCCCTACAGTACTCAGTCCTTCATTCATCAATCTTCTATTCAGTTTTTGATTTTATATCCACTCATTCATTGAAATAATATTCAAACCTCTATTGAAAAAGATATTTCTCCTTGAGAATGCATTTCACCAATCTCGCATTGGCCGCCTTGACGGTAGCGGGTGCAAATGCAGCTCCTCGCCCTCAAAATATCGACTTTCAATCTCTCAGCCCTATCGTACAAACTGTTCAAAATGTACCAGTTGGTGTTACTTCTCAAGTTGTGTCATATAATCCGACTGCCGCTGCTTCCATCGCCGCTGCCGCCGTGACGCAAAGCTCAGCAATCAAAGGAACTACCTCAGACACGAAACGGCAATTCAATCATCTCAAAGCCAGAGATGGTACATGCGCGAGGCAACCAGAAACAATATACACAGGCACCAATCCGAAAGACGATCCGGATTCGTTTGTAGCATATAAGCCATTTGCTGATGCAGCTAATAGTGCATCAACTCCTTCTGGCTATACCAGATCCTTTGTCAATCTTCATGCATCCAATAATGCCTTGAAGTATATGGGATTTACGCAATTACCAACTTACGATACCGCCTCATGTGCTGACAAGTGCTCTACCATTACCGGGTGTAATGCTTTCAATCTCTACTTTGAACGCGATCCAATTGTCGATCCAGGTGCTAATTGTACAAATCCTTCTTCAATGACCAATGTCAAATGTGTTTTCTGGGGTGGCTCAATTGATGCTAAGACTGCAGTCAATGATGGTCAATGGCGTAGCAAATTCCGCGTTGTCATCGCAGGATCTAATGGTTATAACCTTGCTTCCCTTCCCACACCAGGCGGATACACTCCTCCTTCATGCCTTGAAGACTCTGCTATCAACGCTCCATTGGACTGCAACAAAGACGACACTTTCCTCGGTTCCCGTTTCTTTACCGACACTCCTTTTGATGTTAGCCTTTGTACAGCAGCTTGTGATGCGACTAGCTCATATGATCTTGCTCATCCACCCGCGATTGGTAGCCCAAAGACTTGTCAATTCATCAACACTTACATCCTTTACTTGAATGGTGTTGCTCAAGGTCAAACTTGCGCCATGTACACAGAATCGTGGGATTCCAGTTATGCTACAAATACTGGTTATACTAGTGGAAGGGGTGTCTATACCATCGGCTCTTCTTATACTCTCTCCAATGCTACCAATCCGAACTACGCAAAGGATTGCAAGGCTTCAGCCAATTCTAGTTCAAGTAGTGTTTTGAGCTCTTTAGCCTATGCTTCATCAACTTCGGGAACCGCAACTTTCAAGATTGTTAGCAGCACTTCGGCACCTGATTCTTTACCTTCCAATACAGCAAATGGCACTTCTGTTCATGATTCTTCAACGTCATCTATCTCAAATTCTAAGATTGTGAGCGGTACTTCGAAATCTCATGTATTGCCCTCAACTACAGCAAACATCACATCAGTACATGCTTCTTCGACACCTTATGCATCTAATACATTGGCTTCCAGTACAGACAGTACGGCGATATCTAGTACACTGATTTCATATACAAGAAACAGCACTTCAGCTTATGCTCCTTCAATGACAAGCACCTCAGCTTTCCATACATTAAGTACCACTACGGCATCCGGTGCATCGGCTTCCAACACAGCCAACAGCACTTCCGAATCTAGCCGATCAGCTTCCAATACAATTGGAAGTACTTATGTATCTCATGCATCGCCCTCGAATACAAAAAGCAGCCACCTGGCCCCACAAGGAACTGGTTATGCCTCAGATAGTGGATATATTACCAGTGGATCTCCCACAAGCAGTGAATCAGGATATAATTCTTTACCTTCGAGCACAAAGAGCAGCAATTTTGGATCATCAGGAAGTGGTTATGCCTCAGCTAGTGGACCTACCTATTCTAGGCCCCATTCTATCATCAGTGGATATCCCACAGGCACTGTATCAAATGCATTGCCTTCATATACAGCAAGCGTTTCAGCACCTGATACGTTGCCCTCAAACTCAGAAAGCAACACTGCCTCGAGTTCTGTATCGAGTCATGCCTTCACATCTGTTACTTCTTCCGGTTATTTATCCGCATCATCGTCCGCCGCAGCAACAGAATCAGTCTCTGCTAGCGGTAATGCACCTTCAATCTCCAACAGTGGATCTGCCGGCTCTTACGCATCCGAAACATTGTCTGGTAGCATTCCATCTTGCACATCTTCAGGTTCATCCGATCCGGTCACATCGTCAAATCTTGGCATCAACTTTGCTTATTTCAGCAACCCAACTCTGACTACTGGCTACGGGTCGTCGCAATTTGATATCAATTCGCTGAATGGAAAGATCCCCACCTACACAGGGACAGCCAGTCAAATTGGTTTCTCCAATACTGCGGCTGGTTCGGATGTGACTCTATACCCTGGTGCGCCATCCTACAGCCTTGAACAACTTGCCATCGTTCATACCGGCTACGTGTATGCTCGGAAAGCAGGAACTTACACCTTCAACATTACCTCCTTTGATGACATTGTTATGGGATGGATCGGCTCAAACGCATTTGGTTCCTACTCCTCCAGCAATGCCGACCTTAATGCCGCTAGCTCTGATACCCACAATGCCGTCACAACAGTTTCCAAGACTTTGACTGCAGGACAACTCCTGCCATTCAAGGTCCTTTGGGCTAATGGTGCCAGTAGTGGTAGTCTCGGCTTCAGTATCAAGGGTCCAGATTCAATTCTCTTGTCTTCATCCTCTGGGTCCGCTAAAGATGTCATTACCACACCATCCAGTATCCAAACATTTTCATTCCCATCGGTACCTTCTATACCTACTAATGCTACTGCTGGTTTCACTAGCTCTCATTAATCTCTCTCTTTCAACAAGTATTATTAGAATATCATATTCTGATTGGTACTCATTTTTCTGGAGGACAGGGGGTTTGGGGAAGGGAGGTTCTTCTAAAGCTATAATTGAATTTTCGGATGCCTTGGCAATCTTGAAGGAAATGATTTGGGCAGTTGTTCGGCATGGTTTTTTGTTTTTCTTTTATACATATTTAACTCTATTTTAATCACTCTCTAAATATAATTTGATCGTTTCTAAATTACATCAATCACTACCAAATTTCGCTCAGGTTTTTTGATGAATTAACTAATTATTTCCAAGTTTCTGTACTGTAAATCGAAGACTAGTTATCATCCATGGAGGCCGCGCTTCTCCGACGCTTTATTCGACTTAATGTAGCTAAGCTTTCCTAATTCATCGATCCTTCTGATAACCCCTCTGCTTCTAACCATTTTCTTCTCTCCTTCTCTCCTTCCACTCTCCCTTCCTCCCCTAGGCTGAAACTTAAGATTCTCTAATGACTCGAAAGTTATGCCACAACTCACACAACCTGAAGTCCCATGCCGAGCCCAAGTTTCCTTCATTTTAAAGACATAGAGTAAATATCCCTACCCATGATAAGATCCTGATATCAATTGTTAAGAAGTTTTTCTAGAATGATACAAGGGCAAATATTTTCTTACCTTAGGTGAATTATGGCAGACAATCCAAAAGGGTTGGAAGGATTTTTTGATGCTAGGAACAAAAATCTTAATTTCTTAGCTGTTATGTTCTAATTACAAATACATGGAATTTTTGTTCTCTCAAGTGATTGAGCGGAGTGATTGATAGCTTTGAAAGTAGCGATACAAATAATCAAATATGACGTACAATTACCATGGTGAACGTCTTCTTCTATTTCCTCATGCTGGGTTCATGTTGATAGATGCGATGCATTGCATGACCACAGCGTGCCTAGGCTATCACGTCGAAAGTCTGCAGGGAAACTCCCATATATGTCTCCATCTCTCAATGTCGGGTTGTGGCTGGTTTGTATCGCTCAGGCCATTTTACCCCATGTTGTATTTGTTTGAGTAAATTTCGTGCTTCGCCACCTTCGAAAAAAATTTGTAGCAGGAAGTTGAATACCAGATGGGACGAGAGATCGATGCTAAATATGGCTCAGAAACGGTGTAAAATCAACCTTAGAGGCTTTCTCAATTTCACTCTTAGCCCTCCAGCTCTCGGGTATATGAAATTCGGGTTAACAAGATTCTTTTTATAAGCAGCTAACCATCATAAAGCTGTTTCAACATATGTTTTTGTATTGATGATAATCCGAGTGATGCGGAATTTGCTGGAGACATGCGTCGAAAGCAATTTCAATTGAGGCGGGCTCGATGGTGTCGATGCAGTGTTTATAGTAAGAATTCTTGAGAACGACCACAATAATGGCGCAGTGGCGAGAATTGGTCGATTAGATTCCAGTTGTGTAAGAATATTTGATGTCTAGCTAGAAGGCGGCAACGAGCATCCGTAAACTGCAAATCTTCCATGAGCAATCTTCTCCGGCAAAAGTAAAGGACTTATTAAAGGGAACGAACTATAGATTTGAACAGTCTCTCCAAGTCTTAGATGTGGTAATTTGCAGGTCATTAGATGATCGAGCATTGTACTTCTAGACTATGAATTGTTGGTCCCCAGGAAGGAAATTGACTCCCTTCTTCCCAATGTTCCTCTCTCTCTCCTTAGCCCTTAGGAAGCTCGTTTATGTGCATCCACCAAGACTTTCCTCTGAGCAGAACAAAAAAAAGCTGCGTCGGAAAAATTTGCTGTATGTAGGAATTTTGACGAAATGACTGACTTAGAAGCAAGTAGTCATGAGCTTGATTTCAAAACCCCAAATTTAAGCAACGGAAAGTCATCTTCTTTCCAAAACCACCACATAAGGAATGTGGTCAGCAGGTGTCTTCAAGATAGAGTTAAAACCCTAGTCTCAACGACCACTAGAACCCCTAGAGCCCACAGAAATAGTTCTCCTTTTCATAGCCACGAGGTCAAAAAATCGGGTTAACAGGTCTTCAAGATAGAGTTGAAAGCCCCAATCTCAATGGCCCCCAGAACCCCACAGAAGGTGATACTTTGATGGCCCGCCGCCCATCGTTTCTCAATCTTCTACATCGCAGCAGATCAATGTGAGTGTTTTAAACCCCGAAGAGAGAAAAAAAGAAGATGCAGGTCTCCCCACAAGCCTCTATACCATAGATAATTCTATGAAAGACAAAAGAAGATTCAGGTCTTCTCATAAGCTTCTACATCATTCTTACAAATGAAAGAAGATAAAGATCACTTGACCTCTAAACTTCTACACCATGAACTAATTATCATGAAATAAAAGAAGATGAAAGTTGCCTCTCAAACCTCTACACCACAGATTATTCATGTGAAAAAGAGCCAAAGGGCCCAAATATTCTCAGATAAGACCATCGGTCTCATCTGGCCAAACAGAACATAAATCTCACGCCTGTGCCAGCGCTGAGGGTCTGTCTCAAGGATTAACGCGCCTCATCGGACAAGCAACAGGTCGTGAGAGCAATCAAGGTACAATGTAGCATTACGCTGAATGACAGCCCCAAGGTCCCCACCGTACTGTGGAGGATGTTAGCAAGTGTATCGAAAGAAGGATAGGGGAGATGAGAGTAGGAAGGGTAGGAAAAAAAGACTTAGCTTCGGATTTATACAGGTTAGAAGAGAAGAGAAAATTAAAATGAAATCTGGGAGGATGTCTGGGTTTATATAGACGTTCTGTCTAGTGTAGAAAAGTCAGAAAACTAACTAGCACTGATTAGCCTCATTATAATTGCACTAATCACCTTCATATGGTATCTTTGATGACTTTGCACATTCCCCTAGCGCATTGGCCGGTGATCGAGATTCAAAAACTTAGGCGGCGCCAAACTCAATTTCACTTGAGCTAAGGTTATCAATGTCTATTAGCGCGATCGAAATTTGACCCTCCTACAATGCCAATAATTGTTCCATAGTCAGAATTTTTTGCTGAGTCGTGATGATCGTCAGCGCTCAAAGTTTGATAGTTACCTATGTTAAACAAGCCAAACTTTATTGAAAAGAATTGCCTTCGGCACTTAGCTGATTCCACATTCCCTGAGGTGCTTGCGTGCCCGTCTTTCATGGATTTTATATGTACACAGCTATGCTGGCCACGAATTTTGATCTTTATGAATCTTCGTTGTTATGAAAATCCAAATATTCTTTGTGTATCTCGTGCCAATTAGGGTTTTTCTGAGCTTCAAGATTATCCTCTGATATATTTGAACAAATTGGTATCTTTTTTAAACTACTCTCTCGTGTTATCCTCGCCACTTACCAGCTCCCACGTTGTTGCTTCTATTGTAAAAGAGGCAGGTCAAGATACATGGGTTCGGAAAACATATTATAAGGGGGAATAAGAGGTAGAATCTGATTAGATTATATTATAAAGATATCATTTATTGAAGTAATAAAATTTCACAATATATTGAGTTTTAAAACCAATTGAAAATTCATTTTTTTCAGTTATTCCTTTCGAAAAAAATTCTCAATCTTTTTTTATATATTTTTTTTATATAAATTCTAAGTGAATCCAAAATTTTATTATTTAATCAGTAAATATCTTACTAATAAAATTTCAAAAGAATCCTAGATTAACTATACATCTAGTCTCAATATCTCAGCTCTTTTATAGCATTAGTCGCTAACTTAACAAAAACCAGGTTCCGGTTGATAAAATATGACTATTCTCCAGGCATCAGGCGTGTAGTAATTAATAATTGAGCTAGATATAAAGTCAAGATGGAAACCGGCATTGCAGTCACTGCATTCGAGTTTGAATCTGGTATCGATAGCAAGCGAAGAGAAAGAGGGCCAATTATTCGCATATAGGCCGTGGTCAATTTCCATTGTACCTTGAAGATTAATGTACAGCCTTCAAACTGCAGGCAAAACCAAAGCTACTTCACTTCACTCTTACCCCCAAATCTTGCTGGAAAAGCATAGCCCTAAATCCCGCATCAGCAAGACCTCAAAATGAAAATAATAAATAGTTGTTTTTTTTGGTTGGGCTTTACACATCACTTGGGTGTTCTTCTCCCATTGGCACCCTGGTAGACCAGGGAGGATCTCTACTGAGAGGTGTCTTAGAAAAAGAAAGAAAAGAGGACTACCGCTGTAGGATACTATCCCAGAAGAGAATAAAAGGAAAGAAAAGAAGAAAACGCTGTAGCCTAAAAGACCTAGAAGAAAAAAGAGCAAAACAAGAAAAACAAAAACTTAAGAAAACAAGGAGGAAAGGGAAAACAAGCAAAGAAAAAGAAAAAGAAATACTGGAATCATCGTTAGATGACTGGAAAAGCCCACGCCCACAAAAGCCCACGCCCACGAAAGTGAAAGCGGAAAGCGAAAAAGCCAAGGCCCACAGAAGCTAACGCCCAACAGAAGTGAAAGCGCGCAAAAGATCGATTCCATAGGCCTCTGCCAGGAATCTTCTTTTGCGCGTTTATATTCGGAACTCCACGCATAAGAGACGTCAAGCTCCGGAAAGAAGAAGATACTGCAGCTAACCAAAGATTCCCGACTTGGCGGAGTCGAGAATAGTGGTTTGCAAATGCAGCAACCACCCTCTTCTTTCACGGAGGACATAGAAATGCCCTCCAAAGAGCCAAAGACCGCCGGAACACCACGCCTGCAAACTTTTGAAAAGATTGCACGTCTCAACCCTGGTCTAAGGGTTCCCGGTACCTCCCCACAAAATGGTACCGAGTGCCGACTGAATGCCTTCTCAGCCGGTCTTACAGAGACTTGGCTCTGAATCCATTCCTCTAATGGCGCAGGATCCCTCCAAAGGATTACCTGCATGCCCTCTGCCAAAAGAGGAACTTCATCTGGATGTTCTGGCCTTGCCCGGGTTGCCGCGTCATTAATCATCCAGCTGACATAGCGGGTTACCGCCAATCTTCTGGATGGAAAATAATCGGAGACAAACTCCAGACGCCAGTAATTTCTACCCTCAACGAGAACGGTTGGGATACAGAGCTTCAGACCTGCAGCTCCGGCCACATAGTGGCGAAATCCTGTTTGGAAAGCCATCCTGTGTCAATAAAATACTGACACGTAGGTTGGGTTGACCGAAAAACCCAAGTGTTAAAACAGGCAAAGTTAATATGGTTTAGATTGAAAAGAAGCAAGAACTGGTTCTTTTTGTTTGTAGACCTTAAATTTATAGACTGTTTTGACGATAATGAGAAAAAGGAAACAAGAAATAAGATGTGCGGGGGGCTAATTATATACATATGCTCGAAAGTCTCCTCCCATAGCTAGTTGAAGTCTAACTTAGCAAGTTGCATCTACCTGAGTCAGTATCAAACTAGATTGTGACATACTAAAAGCCTTCAATCTACCACTAAGCCACTAAGCCCTATAATACACTAGTATTGAATGAAAGATTCGCAATTGAAAAAGACTATATCTTAAATGTGGAGCAATTCTAAAGTCTGTCAAAATAAGAAGGAACCAGCCTTTTATAGTTCAGATTAGACTCGGTAGTAGGGCAGCTGTTACTGTTTGGATTTAGTTCAGCATTCTAAATGGATCAAAATTTTTATACGGATTCAAACTTTCAACTAGATTGAGCGACCTAAATAGATTGAGCAGCTCAAATAGTGACGTTGTGTCAAATGATCTTAATTTATCAAATAACCACAATGTATCAAATGAAGAGAATATCTCAATCCAATCAGAAATCATGCGATAAATTCAACAAATAGGGCTTGCCAAACGACTAAAATAAACTCAGGGACTAACAGCCCCCCATTGTTAGCTTGCAAACTAGTCCATCAGAAAACCTAAAAGAGAGGGAAAGAGCGACCCCTTTCGGTAAATGCTAAGCGAGATTTATTTCCTCTCCACAATTCTCGGCACTCACAAGAGGAAGTGACGACTTTTGCTGGAATTAGGTGGGTAAATACTTAGATGGCTCCGGACAAAGATTCGTTCATGTAATAGATCTAGATTTTTCTAGTATACTTCAGCTGAAAATAGGTTAGTGGGAAAATGGTTCTTAGCAGCAAGGCCTAGAAAGCTCTTAAAATCACAATGTCAATGTCGGTAGTAAATGATGGTAGCCTTTGAACTATTTGCGACTACACAAATTAGGGGTCAGATACTTTCATTGTCAAAAATAGGTTTCATGATGATGTCGTAGCTATGAATTTAAGGTGTTTAGCACATCAAGCGTGAAGTGAAGAACGCCGCATTTTAGCTAAATGAACTAACTCCACATCGCCGGTGTTCTAGACATCTTTTCTAGGAATCAAAGTCTTGACCCAAGACACGCGGCTAATGTAGCTCGGCGAGTGAATATCTGATGCTGTCATAGCAGTGTAGTACGTACTGATCTCAAAAAGTCAAAGGAATCGAGATATTTGAGCAAAGCTCGGACGGATCTCAATTACGTTAATTTAGTTGTCAATTTCAGTACCGTCGCCAAATATTAATGCATCCGAACTTTGTAAAAGAATTCATGTGCATGGCTTTTAATCCAGAAGACCATGAGCTACAGCACTCCATATCTTTCTCACTAATACTTCCTGAGGTCGCTTTTCACTACCAGATGCTGACATTGATCGTCACACTGGGCATTTGATATTCCGATAAAACTGCTTATTCGTTGCTATAGTGATGAGAACGGAGTAAACGCACGAAAAGTCAAACTTCCATCTCCTGAAGCAGAGATGGCCTACAATGCAGCTGCACAAGTGATAGCTAGAAACATGCATGCAAACATCAACCGCAG